GGAAAGGGTGTGGAGTCCCTATTTGCATTGGAATTTGAGCTTCATGGATTCTCAGAAGACCCTCTCCTGCCCCTCCTTTCTAAAGGCTGAAGCAGAATCATGATGAAAATAATTTTTGGTTGGTTACCAAAGCCAACCTAAATTAAAGGAGCCCTGAATATTTCACTCTGAAGACATCAGAGCTACAGAACAGGAAAATAAATAAATTTTAGATTCATGGCTGTGGTTAAACAAAACCAAAAACAAATTCTGTCAAGGGAGATAAGTAACTAGTATGAAATGGGGGCTAAGTTTATAGTTTATAGGGCATAGAGGTGAGAGAACTTACAATGAAGAGAGAGAAAAAATGTGCAGAAAACCTATGTTATGCATAGTGTGGGATGAATGGAAAAGAAAAAGGCAATTCTGCTTTCAGTATTAGTTCCCAAACTACACTACAGTGAGAACTCACCCTTGAAAACCCCTCCCCTGTGTTATGTTCCAGCATCATCTGACTCCAACATAACTAGTTGCAAATATAGACAAATATATAAACAAACACCCATGACTGGTGCAGGAGTTAGAATGCATTATTGCAGGCTAACTCTGCTGACTGCCAGCAGTTTGATTTTCACCAGTTCAAGGTTGACTCAGCCTTCCATCCTTCTGAGGTCGGTAAAATGAGGACCCAGACTGTTGGGGGCAATAGGCTGACTCTGTAAACCGCTTAGAGAGGGCTGTAAAGCACTGTGAAGCGGTATACAAGTCTAAATACTATTGCTATTGCTCACCTATTATGTAGCAATTGTCCATTCTTTTAACTATCCCATTCAGTTCTTTGGTTGTCTTCCATTCTATGGAGGTAAAAAAATTTTTTTCTTTTCTCCCCTGTTCTCACCCCCTTTGTGCTAAAAATCAATTTCTTTAGCTGCTATTATTTTGTATTCTTGGTATTATTTTGCTAGACAAGAGTCCTCTGAGCATTTTATCTACCTCCAGGGAATGATCCTTGTGACAGTCACCCACACTTTCCTCTAAAATGTATTATTACGAGGGTACAAAAAGTAGAGGACCATATTTTCCTCTAGTCCAGGGGTGTCAAACTCTATTTCATTGAGGGCCGCATAAGGGTTGTGTTTGACCTCAGGAAGCTGGGGTGGGTGTGACTGGAGTGGGCATGGCCATCTCAACATCACTCATATCAGGGCGCCTGCGGTGGCCCAAGCACTTTGCGTGCGGCTCTCCCAAACTCTGTTTTCACTGGCAGAGGGTTGCAGGAGGTTGTCACAGCAAAAAATGGAGCTTAGAAGCCTGTTTTCGCTGGGAGAGGCACCAAGGGCCAGGCCTTAGCACCCACAGGCCGGATCCAGCCTCCAGGCCTTGATTTTGAAACCCCTGCTCTAATCAGATGCCCAGATCAGCTCCGAACTCTGCTGTTTCCAGAAGACTCTATTACAGGGGTGTCCAACCTTGGCAACTTTAAGACTTGTGGACTTCAACTCCCAGAATTCCTCAGCCAGCAAAGCTGGTTGGACACCCCTGCTCTATTACTAGGACATAATAAAAATCATACTAAACAACTAAAAATATTCTAATCCAGAGCTTAAAACATTGATGGCAACACTATATTTATTTTCATATACACAGATCTTTGATGCACACCCCAAAAATTAGCACTGAAGGGGGGAAAAAACCTATTATCCAAAGGCCAGCATGTATAGTCATGCATGATTCCTGCACTGAAGACATCTAGGGTGGAAGAATAGCAGCAGAGAAATTTTATTGTTAAAAGAAACTTTAATCAAGAAGAGATTTTTTAAAATAATAATTACAATGATTAAGAATATCAATAGCATATTTTTTGCATCACATTGCCACTGTATTTTCCTGTTATTATCAAAACCAAAGAATAAATTGTAATCTTTCTTGAAACAGTGCATTTGTTGCTTTGAAATATATTTATAGAAAAGGTACTGCAATCTGGAGGGGCCAATCACATTGATTTCTCTTTATGAAAAGCTTAGCTTGTATAATGCTCTTTCTCATACAATGTGAACTTCAAGATTCATGGCAATACATATATTCCGCAATACGTAGGAAAAAATCCATTACTTTTCCTTGCTGGTTCAAAAATACAGTGCTTGGAGTTTCTCCTGTTGCCTTGGAGAAGAGGGAAGCCATATTTCTTGCCTCCATTTTACAAATTCCTTTTCTATATAATCGTAATTGATTACAACAATTTTTAAAGATCCACCAGGATTTTGGACCCTGAACAATCTGCATTAGAATCATGCCTTTAATTTTTAGCTGTGGCTGGGTAGGCTGTGTTTATTAGTGCCAAGAGGAATCCATTTTATCCATTTTTCCTGTTGAAGGCTATGGTTCTTGAACAGATTAAAGCTCATTTCTTAAGTGAATTGCATCAACATGTATTTTAAAGATTCACACTTTTTTTTATACATATGCATTCAAAACAAGTACATTATTCCTTCAGTACACATGCAAGTGGGATTCCATATAAGAATTGAATCTGCTTTGGTGGTGTAGTGGATAAATTGCTAACTCTGTATGAATCAGGAGGACTGAAAGATTTATGGCATACACTGCACTTTTACAGAATACATCACTTTGAAACAAGGCATGCATGGAGATTTTATACATTTTAGTAGACAGTATTTTATAAGCAACACAGGTTTCTTGTTTTGTGACTCACTGTTAAATATTGTCTTTTAATAAAAATGAATCTTAGTTGCAAAAAATAAAGCTATTGTCAAAATAGTATTGGAGAATGTTTATCGTTGATCTAGTTAATCAAGTTATGGACTGCATTAGTAGACTCTTATTGCAACACCAATACAATTTCAGTGGCATGTTTCATAACTGGAACATGTTTCTAAAAGATGTCATCATCCAACAAAAAGAAGGGGAGCTTGCAACACAGAGGAAAAAGTAGCAATAGAATTTGGGGAGTGAGCATGGTGGTGGTGGATAATTAAGGTAGGTTGCATTACCAGTAAGTTCTGGCCAAAAAACACTTACAAAAGCTGCCTTGGGATGCCCATGCTTCTAGTCGATGTTATAAGGTTTAATTTTAAATGGAGAACATTTCAAAATATTTTAAAGTTTAAACGGAGAATTTCAGCTGCAGTTAAGTGAAGCTTCCAAGGGCAGAACCACTGTGCTTCTGGTTATAGTTACTGGTGGGAAAATGAAAGAAGGTTGCTGCAGCTAGGAGAGGTGGGCTTCCTAGTCACTATGAGGAAATTGGATACCAGGTGCAAAGTTTTTTTTTTGTTTCAGTATTCACAGGAAAACCTTGTTTTAGTAGAAAAAATAAGAAAAAATGCATATGACGCCTTACAATGGTAACAATTTCTAATTAGTGCCTGTTTAATGGACTCCATCTTATTTTGTGAGATGCAATGAGTTTTCTCAAATGGTTGCAGAGAATTATTAAAAAGACGTTGAAATACAAGGGTCAATGAGTCAGATTTCTCTAGAGAATTCATGGATGCAAGATAAACATAAGTTAATATTTCATCTATAAATTTGATAGTCTTTAAGGTACCTAAATTGTTTGTTCTGATTTGGTTAGTCATTGTAATTCTTTTCTTTTTATTGGAAAACAATAAAAGCCTATAAAAAGGTAAGGCCAACTGAAGGTACACAAAATAGATGCAAGCTTTTTTTCCCCTTCATGGTCAACATATCCATTATTGGTTCTGTTCATTTTCATTATAGTTTCTTTGGAAATAAGAATATGTTTGAATGAGTGGCAGTCATGGTGTATTTTATTATTGGAGTATGCTAAAATGGTTTATTTCAGTATACCTTTCCTAGTGTCAAAATGTGCCATTTTTCACAATAGTGTACCAGCAATATTTTCACGGAAGCAATCAACTCTAAGCATCATCACCATATTACATTTAGTTTAACAAACTAATGCACAAGTAATTTTATTCTCATGTTGTTTGTGCCATTACCAAAATTTCATACATCTTTGAGACTTACTACATCATCATATATAGGAAATATTTAGATCATTTTTAATGATAGTGGACACATTCACAATTTTGATATATTTAATTTATACAAAGAATTTCATTCAGTGTAAACAAGCATAGGAAAAATACTTTAAGATGGTCTTTGGAACAAGAACTTTGTTTGAAATTGGTATGGAATGAAAACTACAGTTATCCTATCCTTCCCCAACTTGGCTCCCTCTATCAGTTTTGAGCCCACAATTCCCAACATGATGCTCTGGGAATAGCAATTCCATTACCTTTGAACGGCATTCTATTTGGGAATGATGGCATAATCTCTTACCATATTATAATTAAAATTAATGTTAAGAAACAGTGTGCTTTAAATCATCAAATGAAAACTATTTTTCAGCACTAAATATTCATGCTACAGTGTCTTTTGCTAAACAGCCTGTGTCACGTATAGCAATAATTTAGGAAAAACCCATTTCTCAATATCAATATATATACATATATACATATATACATACATATATATACTTTCTCGTGACTGGGAATTTTAAAAAGACATCTTGGACATAAAAATGGGTAGTGGAATATGTAAACGTTATGATATACCTGAAACACTGGAAGGAAATGCTAAATACAAGTCATATCATCACATTAAAATGTCAGGGGAAAGCACAATTTGTAGTGATTGAAGAAAAAGATTAGTCCACAAAGGCTGCTCATGATTCAACCGTCTTCTTTATTTTTCATTACTTTTCAGGTGGAGAAAATGGCCCCAGCAAAAACATCACAATATTTCTCTATTATTATCTATTAGTTGAAGATTGACAGTTTATTTTCCTGAGTAAAGTCACTGATGTTTTCAATATCTTCTTTAATTGTTCAAATAAAATAAGGCAGTTAATGATTATATCACTCAGTCTTTTTCCCTCCAGAACTGAACAACTGTTTAGTCTTTAACAGATCTGTTTTCCTAGAAATGCAAATAGTAAAATTGCCTTCAGCACCAACTGTGATCAATTGCCTTGGATTTCCTAGATGAGCAACTTGGATCATGGTAGATCCTTGAGAATCACTGATGTCAAATACCAAATTGCACAGTTCAAAATTTCTTTTCAGGCAAAAGATCTCATATTCTATTTTGATATCTTTTTTTCTGCTCAGAATTAACTTAGATGTGGTTGCAGATAATGCTGTTCACTAAATTGAAAAGAAAGTGTTTCTGATATTAATAATAGTTGCATCTGGAAAAAAAGCTTTTTTTCCTAAGGAAGCAAGCAAATTCCATGAACAAAAAATTGCTTCCCAATTATAAAAGTGAATTTTGTGCTTCTTTTTTTTTTTCAAAAAAAAATCCAAATTTTTTGAACTCCAATTAGATCACTTTGTTTTTTCTCTAGTCCATTTGATCATAGTCTCTGGTGAACGGTACAGGAATATTAGCTTAGCATATAAATCTTCCTCTAGTTCTAATTCACCAGTCTCCCGCACTAAGAAGATATCTGTACACAGCTTTAGGATACGATCCACATTGGGAAGCTCTTCAAACATAATAGAGTGGGAGATTCCACTGAAGAATTCACGGACAAATTTTCCTATTACCAGCACAACTGAAGCATATAAACCCATGATTCTGAAAAACATGAAAGAAAACATTAACATTTAAAAATGTGTAATAATTTGAAAGGAGACAGACAGACAGAGCAGAGATGCAGCATGGCTAGATAAGGGGCATGAGATGCCTCAGGAAAGAGGTAAGCTATGGATGGGGTGGCTTGGTGCAGGCTGTGTGCAAGTGTCTCTCCCTTGAGCAGCTGAAAATTCTCCTCGGATTTTGCCAGGGATTTTCAGCCCCAAAGCTGAAGGACTTGTCCACAGCAACCTCCCAACTCACACCTCACCTTGTCTCTTCCCTGCCCTACCCGACATCTTGCACTCTTTACCTGGGACTCTGTCTACTTAATAATCCACAAGATTGCTTAATAACTGCAACTGATGATTGCAGCTGTTAAACAAAGTGGTCATGTGACATCTTAAAGACTGTTTCACTCAATGACCGAGATTCCAGGTCCATTTACAGTTGTAAGCCAGGGACTATACGTAGAGCATAAAATCGTCAACTGCCAATGATGAGTCTCAAGCAGTCCCTTGGTTGAAATTTTGCATCTCTTTTTTCCTATTTGAGTACCCCAATGGTCTGAATGATGTTTGTTTTTCCGATGGGAGGGAGCAGTTGACTTTTATATACTTATTATAAACCCTTGTCTGCTTTCAAGCTCTTCTAGCCTTCACCTCATTAATGTGGAAAAGAGTGGGCTGGATGATACTCTGTTGCCTATATTTAACCCAAATTGCAAATTGGTGGGATAAATTAGCTATGGGAGCTTTCAGCCCCAGTAAATTCTTCCATTAAAATGGAACTATCTGGATTCAGTCTCATTTCTGATTCTGTTTTATTGATGGTAAAACTACCATTAATGTTCTCATCCAGTTACAGGATCTTCTAATCGGTCACAAGGATAAAAGTGATGTGATAAGAATTGATAACGATCACCTTTTAAAATTTATGAAAGCAGAGACACCCATGTCTAAACATGTTATCAGATACGAAAGCAGTTCAGTGGTGGGGTTCTACCAGTTTCCCTGCCGGTTTGGTGATCGCACACTTCACGCGTGCATGTGCGCATGCACCTAATGTGTGCGCAGCTTTCCAAAATAAGCTGAAGCTCTGCTGCGCCAATCAGGTGAGAGGATAAAGAACAGAAAAGCACAGGGGTGAGTGTGGGGGCTGATCCTGCACTTTTCTCTTCTTTTTCCCCTCAGCTGATCGTCGGCACTTTTTTTTGCTACCAGTTCAGTGGAACTGGGCCGAACTGGTAGCATTTCACCACTGAAGCAATTGCTATAAAAAAGTAGAAAAATGTGAAGTTTGAATTGCAGTTGTTAGGAATATAAGTCACCTAACAGGTATTTGGGTTAGAAATATATAGACCAGGATAAACATTTTAGTACTATGTCTTTAAGAGATTGCAAAAACTGCAATCCAGAAACCTGGATTGTTTTAGTCTGAGTCTCAGAAGAGAGTGTGAGTGTATCTCTGTTTCCTTCTGTTGGAAAGTATTGCTGTTGTTCCATTTCTTCTAATTGACTGATATTATTGGATTTAATGTAAGTCTGATACTGAACTGTTTTTGACACTGGAATTTGATATTTGGATTATCCCTGGATGAAAACTAACTGATTTTACCTGTGAATGACTTTGGACTGCTTATTTTGGACTTTGCTTAAACCTTTCTGGAAGTAAAAACCTACATTTACTGTACAGTGTATCTGTGTACTGTGTGTGTATTATTCAAACACTTCTCTCAAATACGTTTCCCTGTATGCGCTCATTCTCCTAACGGGGAATTACCTCAACAGCAGTTTAGGGACCAATTTTAACTGGCTTGGAGCTCTTTGGAGTATATGTTCCAAATTGGATCCATAACTGCTGAACAGTGCCAGGTCTGGATGGAAGCATGAGATCCGACACACAGCAGGAATAAATCAAATGATCAGAATCTAAATACTTTTTTTTATTCCTTCAGAATCTACTGAAAGCAGCATAGGCTTGTGAGAGGACCTACTTTACAGCTGTATACATCTGAATAGATGCCCATATTATGTGCATGGAGAATAGTTATGACAGACTCTTCTGGATATATTTTATCATCTAGGGCAGGGCTGTCAAACTTCTGGCCCATGGGCCGGATGCATCATGCTCTGGCCACGCCCACGCCTGGTTTAGCAAAGGGAAAAAAGTCCTGATATGTCACATGACAATGCTGTGATGTGAGTTTCACACCCCTGATCTAGAGTTTTCAGTTATCTTACAGTCTTTAGAACTTGATCTTTTTCAGCCATTCATAATAATTTGATAATTTGGACATGGTCTTCGGAGATAATGGCAATGAAACCAGTCTCCTTCAGATGATCACATCTGAAGAAAGTTTGCTTCAATATAATGTAAATATAAACAGTAATGCTCCCGAAACATAACGGCATGTCTTATATTAGATAATAATGTTAACTTGAAGTATTTGCTTACCCATAACCTGCCAAAAATCCAAGACTGGGAGGACTGACTTTGTCACTGAACACTATTAGTTCCAAACTAGTTTTATTTGGCTCCAAAAATTTGTTCTTCTGGTTCAAAACCCACCATTCATGAATTTCACCGGACTTGTTATTATTGGATAGTGAAACAGTGATATCTTTAAACTTCCCACCTACAAAAAAGAAGAGAAGGAACAAAAAAACCCCCATCCTCTTTATTAGCTATTCCAGAGGTGTCCAGCCTGCGGCCTATGGGCCACATGCAGCCCTGGAGAGCTAGTAATGTGGCCCCACAAGATCATAAACTTTAAACTTCACATTTATATGTTTATATACATTGTGTTTATATACATTGATTATATTACATATTTTATATGCTGCCCAAGACAATTCTTTTTCACTTGATGTGGCCCAGAAAAGTCAAAAGGTTGGACACCCATGAGCTACTCAGAGAAGCAAGAAAATACTTTTTCAATTTCCCACAAAAAATATGGAATCAATGACCTCACACCATACAAATGTTTCATAATTGTAAAATAATTTATGTTAGAGATAAGTTTGCCACTGCATCTGTTCTCAGTGAAGAATTAATTTAATGTCAAAATATACTTCTGTATACTGTATCTCTGAAGATTAGTGTCTAGAAAAGAGAATACCTTCTGAAAACTTAGAACTAGCCATCCTTCTTTTAAGCCTTCAGATTGTCTGATCAAGGCCTGTATCAGTATGTCTGAAAATAAAAGGAAGCAAATGAAATCCTTCTCCCTTAGCCTAACATGCTACCTTCCACTGCAGTGCTGTAGCTGAACAAGATCACTTCCTTGATTGTAAGCAATACTGCATAAGCAAAACTGTTTCAATATACAAGGCCTTATAATCTGTAGGTAGTTCTTGCTTAATGACCATTTGCTTAGAGACCTTTTAAAGTTATGATGATGTACTGTTAGCCAGTCCTCCAAATTATGTACAGCCATTTGTAACACCCCTGGTCATGTGATAAAATTTGAGCGTTTGGAAAGCTGCCTGCATTTATGACTGCCAGCATGCATTTCAACTTTTTTTTTTTATCTGCCTATCTTCTCCCTCCCTCCAGCCTTTTGGCTGGCCTTACCCTGCTGCCACTGCCTATCTCTTCTGCCCTCTGCTGACTGTTGCCATCTTCTTCGTGCTGCCAATGAGGTGTGTCCAGCAGAAGCAGCTGCTGACACTTTTGGAACGCTGCACCTGTTGCATCACCAGGCCTCCCCATTGCTTTGCAAGGCCACATGAAGGTCTCATGAAGGGCTAGCAGCTGCCTTAGTCAGGCACACCTTGTCAGGAGTGGAAGAAGATAGTGAAGGTCACGTAGGGCTGACAGGAGTAGGCAGAGGTAGGTAGTGGTGATGAAGTGCAGGGTTAGGCAGGTGGCGGGAACTGAAGCGGAGTCCAGCATGACATACCCCCCAAAAAGTGTGAGGTTCTATCTTAATGATCATAACTGGGAACCAGGAGTGATGCCACTAAATGATGCAGACATGTGGTAATTCACTTTATGAGAATTTTGTTTAGTGATGAAAATTTTGGTCCCAATTAGGGTCATTAAGCAAGGATTACCTGCAATGCAAGTTGTGATAAAATCAAGAGGGAAGAGGATACTCCCCCCCCCGAAATATAAGGAAAACCTGGTTCCACGAAGGATGCCTTTAATACCTTCTCAAGGTCATGAAAACCCTCTTATTGTCCCTTAATCAAGGCCATAGGAGATAAATCATTAAAAGATTGTAGATGCAAGAAAAAACATTTCATCAGCACTTTCTGTTAGCCTTTGAGAGACCACAAAACGAAACATTTGATTTTTGGTTTTTGTTTCTCATCCCCAACCCTTAATCTGCAACATGGGAGATTCATAAATTACAAAACAATATTTTATCACTTGAAAGAATGCTGAAAATTCATACCTTCCAAGAGTTGTTTTATAGGTTTTGCAACATTATCGCTAGGTGCCTTGACGTAATGTGGATATACTCCAGCAAGCATCCTAGGTAAGGAACAACATGATTTAAGGATATTTAATAGAAATTTATTTACAATATTGTGTCATAACTGATCTTTCTTATCACATATAGTGATTGGCTAAAGTCATTCCAGCACCATTAAGCAACTTGTGATTTTAACATGTCTCCCTGGTTTCGGTTCAAAACTCTATTTGATCCACTATATTGGGTCACTATTATAATTATAAATATTTATGTGTAATTCCCAGGTGGCAAATTCCATGCTCATTTTCTTTTTAAATTTATTATTCTTCAATATAGTGAAAATTTGAGGACAGCTAGCCCATCATCAAAGTATTTTCAATTTTGGTATCAGAAGGGCAACATTTTTCTATTAAAACAAACTCTAGAACAGTTAACTGTTCATCTTCAGCTAAAACATATGAAGAATGGTTGCTGGAACTGGGTATGTCTAGTTTAATGAAAAGAAGGACTAGGGCTGACATGATAGCAGTGTTCCAATATCTCAGGGGCTGCCACAAAGAAGAGGGAGTCAAGCTATTCTCCAAAGCACCACAAGGCAGGACAAGAAGTAATGGAGGAAACTAATCAAGGAGAGAAGCAACTTAGAACTAAGGAAAAATTTCCTGACAGTTAGAACAATTAATCAGTGGAACAACTTGCCTCTAGAAGTTGTAAATTTAAAGAAGAGATTGGATAACCATTTGTCTGAAATGTTAGAGTTTCCTGTCTAAGCAGGGGGTTGAATACCTCCAAGATCCTATCCTATCTTCAAATTCTTTAAATGATTTTCTATGACACAAATACAGTAAAACTATGCCGAAAGAGTTTTTGTTGTATATACAGGTAGTCCTTGACTTACAACCACAGTTGAGTCCAAAATTTCTGTTGTTAAGCAAGTCAGTTGTTAAATTTTGTCCCATTTTATGATCTTTTTGCCATGGTTGTTAAGCGAATTGCTGCAGTTCTTAAATTAGTAACATGGTTGTTAAATGCATCTGGCTTCCCCATTGACTTTGCTTGTCAGAAGGTCATAAAAGGTAATCACATGACCCCAGGGATGCTTCTGAATTTTGATCACGTGACCACGGGGATGCTGCATTGGTTATAAGTATGAAAAACGGTCATAAGCCTTTTTTTTCAGTGCTGTTGTAACTTCAAATGGCCAATAAATAAACTGTTGTAAGTTGAGGACTATCTGTACATGTTTCTGTGATAGTTTCCTTGATAGTACTATACAATAAAAACAACCAAGGCTACATGTGAGTGTATTTGTTGAATACATGTAGCACATACTGGTATAATCAATTCAAAAATGCTGAATGATTAACAAAAAATGGTGGAAAGACAATAGCTACCCTGTTTCTCCAACAATACGGCCTCCCCCAATAGGAAGTCCCAGCATGTTTTATAGGCCTGAAATTAAATTAAACCCCTCCCCCCAAATTAAGGACTATATTAAAACATGCAAAATGGGGGGGGGGAATGGTGGGGGGGCTTGCCGTTAGGAAGTACTTTTGTTGCACACCCGGATATGGTGCTGCCTGCGTTGACCCCGATACAAAGTGCCCCACCAACGCCGAGGTCAACATCCAAGCTGTCGCCGCCCGCCTGCCCGAAGATGCAATGGGGGGGGGAATTAAGTCACCCCCGAAAAGATGGCCTAGCCATTTTTTCGGGGCTCAAAAAAAATAAAAATAAGACCCAGCCTTATTATATGAGAAACACAGTACAATACATAAACTTTTCACCATTCTTTATATGTAGCTCCAGAAGTATTATATTCCTGTTTGAAACTGGGTATTTGTTCCTCTTAAAGGCCCTTGCAGATGATTGACATGCATTTATATAAATGAAGACTCCTATCCATAAGATTATAATTCAGCAATTAGTTCAATTTAGGGACCATTATATAAGGATTTCATAACAACATGAAGGTAGAGTAATATTTTTTTTCTACTGATGGAGGAAGGAAAGAAGGAAGGAAGGAAGGAAGATAAATTATGGCACCTATATAATGTAAAATATTTACAAATGTAATACAATCATGATCTTTTTCTACTTTTCTATATAAGAACTAAAATCTTGTATTTTAGAATATATCCAAAAGAACTTACACAAAGTGGTTTACATGTTGATTTGGATTTTCCATCATTGCTGCAATTTTTTTTCTTGCATCAGCTGGTAGACTGTGAGATATTTTATCTGATACTGTTTCTGCTTTTGCTCCAAGAGAGATATTTCTTTAATAAATATTTTATAAAAATGCATTATTTAATCATTCAGTAACATATATTATAACATATATTAACATATAACTACTGTATTCCTCTAATTGTTATGTTCAACATAATTACTAGATAGAAGATTTTGAAATACTAATTTAATTAACAACCCTATTCTATGAATGTTTGTAATTGTTATTATTATTATATTTATTTGACACTTATCTCAGCATGGGACTACTCTAGGCTGTTGTGGCTTCTATTCTCACAAATAAAATAAAACTTCAGATTTGTTCCGAGCAGCCACAATACTGTCAGAAAATTGATGCTCAGTGATAAATTAATGCTGATAATTTTCCAGGAACTAAGATTCTGTGTTAAGGAGGCTGCCTTTTCATATCTTTTACACACTTAGATAACAGAGATGCAAGGTAGCATATTTTTACTGGGAATACAAAATATTTAAACTGGGCCCCTAGTTCAAATAACCTTTATACTAAGGGTTTCGAAAACAATTATAACATCCATAAGAGTCTAAAAATCTTACAACAGTATTCACTAGCACTAAAACTAAGGTTAAATTGGTGGTTAAACAAGATGGCAGATTGACAGACAGGCAATAGAATGAATATTATACATTTTTCATTATCTCAGGTTTGTGGAGTATGCAGTTATCATATGAAGTAAATAATGCTAAAATGCATCATCATCATCATCCTTATCTCACACAGCTGGTGGGTTTCATATTCTTTCAGTGCTAATTATTTTAATGTTGAACTTTATCACTTTTGCTACATGAGGTCCAGGCCTATGATTATTGCTATTCTTTATATAAAAGAGATTATTCCAATCAATAATCTTTACCATATTTTACTTCTAACCACTTTCACATCCAGATGAAAAAGTGATGCACCTATATATTATCAATGATGTACCTTTGAATGCTCCATGAAACAACCAAAGAAAAATCAGGATTATCTGCCTTGAGCTCCTTTATCATATTTTTTCTGCTAGGAGGACTGATGGTCCATAAAGAATTTGAACTGCCTTCTAGCTGAGCAACTGTTATATCTTCTATAGCATAGTTTTCTAGAAACTGTAAAGCACCCTTTAAAAAAATAAAAGAGAGAAGTCATCTCTATTTGTTGTCTGTAAAACTGTTCCATCAAAAGTTTCATTATTCAAAGAAGGAGGGAGAGACAAAAGATGTAGAGCCATGAGTAGTGGATGAATGAAAGAAAAAAGGGAGACATACCAATAGAATGGCAGAATGGACAAAAACCAGAAACATGGTTATTAACTGAACGGTCGGAGCACTTCAAAGCACAATACTCCACATTCTGAGAGGGAAACCCACTACTAGAAAATCATGAAACCAGCTAGCTAAGCCAAATTTTCTTTTATTTTCTCCTTTTCTCTCAAAAGCATGAGAACATAATAAATGTAACTGATTAACTAGTTTGCAGAAAATGAATGAAATATTTTTCAACTGATGAGAAGTTCAGCATTCCCATTTTACAACAGGGCAGCTACTTAAACAGACAAGCATTAATTGCTAAGTGACTGATTTAAAATGACCATGGCAGCTATGCCTTTGTGTGTAATATTTGAAGCATGTGTGTTCACATATATGTGCTATTGCAAATACTAAGCTATTGTACATGTTTGTCTCTACTAGTACACAGAAGGGTGCAGATGCTGGGGTATAACACACATTAATATAAATTTAGTGCTTCCTCCTTTACATGTTATTAAGCACTGAGTTTAACTGGATTTACAGATGAATTCATGCATACACTCAGAATGTCAGTACAAATGGAATATTAAATAAATAACATAATCACAGTGGTATTTTGAAAAATATCGAATGCTTCCACAATTGCTTGCCATTAGTAATATTATTTTTACTATTAAAGAAATACTTACGGTATCCTTCTTAAATGCATTGTTAAAGTCTCGAAACTGTTTATTTGTCATATTTTTTAGTTGACTTTGCTGGGCGCTCATTGTAAAAATAGGCTGGAAAATAACATAAAAGTTGCTGTAGACATGGATACCTTTCAGTAAATATACATCAATGCTTTCTTTTGCTGAAATTTTATAATAAATGTTAGCATACGAAATAAAATAACACATGACATTTTAACAGGTTGTACCTGGTAACCTCCTAAAGTTATTGTGATGGATACATCAAGAGGCCTATTTGTGACACCTGCAACAGATTTAATTAGAGACATGAAGAGCAGCGGGAACCACACTATGCATATCAGCAAGACAATAATCATGCCACCCATTCCATACTTCACAACTTTCTTTTTCTTCTGGCCCCTTGGTTGGGGATATCGCTGCAAAAAGAGAAAAAAAGCAAATAAGCAAATAAATGCATTTTTTTTCTTTTGAAAAGAGATAAAACCCATTAATTCTTTAAACTGCATCTTCCATGTATTTGAACTTTGTGTTCATAGGTGGCGTCCTTATCTTATTGGGACTCCGTAGTTTCTTGTCAGACTGCACATGTTCTAAATAATTAGTATTATCCAAATGACTATAATTGAGACAGGGCTGTCCCGTAGTCCAGCATCTTGTACAGGAACAAATAATTCAATAGTAAATGTCATTGTCTAAAATCACATGGTCTAAATTTTTTTTCAATAAAACTTAGACTCTCAAACAGACATTGACAATGAAATCCATATTCCCAGGTAGGCTGTAACTGATTTCATAAGCTAGAAGTAGCAAACTATACTTCTTAATTCTTCATGCAAGATCTGCCATAACAGCAACACTGCAATTCAAGCAACACTTAGGGTCTGGGGTAAGCTAACAAAGAGAGCTCAGACCCATAACACTGATATTGCAAAATGTTGTTTTGTAGAAACTGCCATAGGAGTCTTGTATCAGAATTTTTATAAAGGTCTTGCAATTCAGGGGCTCAACATATACATAACCTCTGGAATTTTATTGCATATGCTGTCTATCATCATTGTTAACAGAGTTTGGAAGTGGATGAAAAAGCTTGTTTGAAACTTTGAAAAGTAAATTAAACAAAGTATGAAAAACAATATTTTTTTCATACTATGCTGCGTAGAAAAATGTGAATTTATAATAAATAGCTTGTCTAAACAACATTTCAATGAAAAGCATTATTTCATAGCAGCTACAGATTTCAGATCCATAGGAATGATAGAAAATTGTAGGACCTGAAAGATCTAATTCTTATTTTTCCTTCAAATAACTGATTATAAGTGTATTAATGGACAGCTACTGAGAAAAATTAAACTTCTCAAATTAATGCTACATGTTGTGACATTAATAGATGCACTTTTAGTATATCTATTCTGTAGCACATAGCCTAGCAGCCTGGATGTCATACTAACTCACATACTTCTGCACTATAAAGTGCTTTCCTAATAGAAAAAAAATTAAAATTGTTAATTAAAAAACCCCATAAAATCTAAGTACTACATACAAAGCCCTAGTAGGTTCAGCTGTGATCTTTATCCTGGTCTTCCAGGGGAATGTTTCACTGACAAAGGTTCTAAAATGCTCTTACTTGGAACCACAGTGGTGCATCCAGAAATTATTTCTGAGAAAGTTATAAAGTTATTTTGAATAGGCTTGATTTCAGTTATAAGCTCCTTTCTTATGAACTAAATAAAATTGAAGTTTTCTTTGGACAATTACACATTTATTACATATTTATTGCATATTATAAATGTTTATGTTCTTTTTTTAAAGAATCATTTTTTCCTATGCTCTTGAATCTGCATACAGGTATATAGAAATACACAGAAATACACAGAAACAAGTGCCTGTGAATGGAAGTAACAAATGAGATTAATATTGCAATCCCATCAATTCTAGGAAGTTTGAAACACTATTAATCTAATACAGATAGATGAGAAATAAGCTCACATTTCTCTTTCACACTGTACAAGGTGAACTTTTTCCTGATTATAAGGTTGTAAAGAAAAAATAATCCCTTAAATGAATTTCTTACTTTTTCTGACTCTCGCCAGCACTTTAAAATGAATATATGAGCATAAATATCTTCAACACAGATCCAACTGGAAAGACTTAATGTGGTATCTGTCCAAACCCAGTCCATAACTGCCCTCAATTCAGTCAAGAAAGGGACTAGGCGGAACCTACCAAAGAAGAAAAATCAGTTTTAGCTTGGGATATTCTGTGGTTTTCATTGCATGAGTCAAATGCAGTCCATGCCTTCCATTCTGTGATTTCCTTGCGGTCCACCCCCTCCATTTTGTGGCTTCCAGAGAATCCCCAGATCACTACTAGCGCTTTTAGAAGCATTATTTCCCTAATTTACTGTAATAAAAACATAATCCTCCAGAGAAAAGGAGATAGATTTATTTAAACATTGAGAACTATTTTATGTAGATAAAGGGTGACCTACAATTTAGTACTAATATTCATATACGAGGATGAAGACTACCGAAAATGTTCCATTTGTCTATGATAATTTTCTAAAATCTTTTGTACAAGAAGAGCATGATGCCCTTATTTGCTCTTCCTTCATATAAGAAATGAGAAGATTTTGTCCAAAAAAGTGTTTCCTTTTTACTTCTGAGTAGAAGTACAAGGGTTATAATTGGTCCACTTATGAATTAAAATTGATTTCATGATCAAGCATAAATTTAATGGTGTCCATCTAATTCAGGGGTGTCAAACTCAAGGCCTGGAGGCTGGATCTGGCCCATGGGGTGCTTAGATTTGGCCTGCAGGGCCACCCTGGAAACTGTGAAGGACTGGCCTGCGGTGCCTCTGTTGCAGCCCTCCTGAGCTCCATTTTGGCTGGCAAAGGGTTGTAGGAAGCCACTGCAGCTGAAAATGAAGCATGCAAGGGCCACAGGCAGCCATCCCAAGCTGTTTTCGCTGGCAGAGTGCTCAGGCCACCACAGGCACCAATGACACGAGTAATGTTGAACAGGCCATGTCCACCCCAGCCATGCCCACCTCGGTCCCCGGAGGTCAAATACAACCCTGATGTGGCCCTCTATGAAATCGAGCTTGACACCACTGATCTAATTCATATTACTAAATAATACAGCATTTCCAAATTAAAGAAAACATTAAGGTGGCATGATATGACTTTGTTATGAGTCAGTCTTGGGGAAGTGCAATCTATAAATAGTAAGAAAGTATAAATTAAAAAATGGAATTGTAAAGAAAAATAGATATTATACCAGACTCACAGACTTACCCTTGGAATAAAAACAGATTTACGTAATTATAACTTTTTGTAAGGAAATTGCCAAGTACACGGGTTGGATAGCCACAACGTATCTGATATGCTGATAATCCAAAATAAACACATTTCACAAAATACCAAAGCTGGGCAACTGTGTTTTGACTAAATTTCCTATAACACAAAGCACACATCAAGAAAACAAATGCATTTTTATATGCCTTTCATAGAATGAATACTTTCAATATTATTTAAATGTGGTAAAGCTAACTCATTTCTTTTCAAAATATCATCTATTACCTTTTTGATATGCTTAATACAATCATTTCATAAGAGATGAATTTTATCATTATGTAGATGAATAGGCCACTTTTAAAAAAGTAATAAATAATAAAAGTAACCCATGAAATCATTTAAATACAATGCATTTACCTGTCTGTCACAATGGGCAAGATAAAGAACATCCAAAAGTGTATGCCGAAAACAAGGATAACCTGAAAGATTACTTTCCCCATGACTGTCTTTCTCAGGTACAGTGCCCGATCGACTACCATGGTTCCAAACTGAATTAGTACCATCACTAAAAAGGCCTCTGGGACTTGGTCCTCTGATAATGAAGAAGTAATATCTGCTGCTGCAGAATGTTTCTGTGAACAAAATAGAAAGAAAACAAAAGAAGCAACATTAATCCTTAAAAAAATAATAGTTATAAAAATAACTACATTTACTCAAGCACACCCATTCTTATTAACGTACCCCAAAAGCCCAGAATCCAAAGACAATGATAATGAAATCCACAGTATCAGCTAGGAACATCAGGACATAAACATCTGTCACAGCACTGTATTCCGGGTGGATAAGATTGTAGAAAAACTGTCTGATGGGCAGATATATTTGAAGTGTCCTGAAATAATTCAAAAGTCACTGTCATTGTTACAAAATAATGTTGCGGGAAAATGCACATGCTTAGAATTTCATTTGTTGCCCCATATTTGACGTACAGTATGGAAACCTTGATTGTCTTCACTCTTGATCTATTCCTGTCTTCAATGGTAGAAGCAATTCATTTCAGTAAAAACATGCAAATGTGGGCTTAAATATTTTTCTCTTGATCTGATCTTAATCAATGTACAGATAGTCCTTACCTATCAACAATTCATTCAGCAACCGTTCAAAGTTTACAATAATTTACAATCTTCAGAGCCACATGATTGCCATAACAGTCAGTAAGTGTTGACTTGTGTCTGACCTGTGGTTTTTTCCACTTGCAAAGCAAAGAGATTGGAGAGGAAGGGATTACAAGAAAGTAAGCAGCCAAATAATGGGGAATTTACCAGGCTGTTTGTATAATGTGGCAGCACATTCTTTCAATGCATATTCCTCACTGTGTTCCTGCTTACTCTCTTGTAATCTCTTCTCCAATTAATGTAAATACAAACATTATTTCCCTTGTTGTTAATTATACCTGGCATTCCAAAGGATAGAGGAGTTGTACAGTGGTGGGATTTAATTTTTTAAAATCCCGATTCTGTGGGTATGGCTAGGTGGTCATGTGACGGGGAGTTCAAAAGTCTTTTTTTCTTTTGCAGTACCCCCCCCGTGCCCCATTTTTGGCCTAGTGGGCCTCAGGGAAGCCTCCTGGGCGCTGAAAAAAGCAGCATTTTGAAGTCTTCTGAGATAAGTACAACAGCAAGGAGGGGGATCAGCCATGCTGCGCGATTTAGATTAGCTAGAAAGCAAGAAATCCGATGATTTCCTGCTTTCTAGCTAATCTAAATCGCGCGGCACAGCTTATTGTCGCCCAGCTGACCGTCGGAAATACCAGTTCGGCTGAACCGGTAGCATTTTTTACTACCGGTTTGGTGAACTGGCAGCATTTCACCTCTGGAGTTGTAGGAACTAAACAAAAGCAGAAAAGTGTGAAATTGATTAGTTTCAAGCCAGGAAGCACAGTTGTAGTGGCATGATTTCCCACTAAGCAACTACTTCACTTAGCAATGGAATTGCCAATCCCAATTGATATCCTAAATGTAAATGATTCCTCCAAGGAAAAAGTAGGTCTCCTTTCAAAATATTTTGGGTTCAAATTGCCATGGGAGTTGTATCTCCAGATATCTAAATTATCAAGTAACAGATTAGCTTCCTTTATTTTAGGATATTTCACTTCTTCCAGCACATATAAAAGCAGGATGTTAGAAACTTGACACCCCTATGGGATGCCTGATAGATTCTTCACATATGCCGAAAATGATTTATTTATATTTTTAGAAACATTAAAATAACATTAAACATAACATTAAATTAATAGTTTGGAAGGAAAGAAGAAAAGACGGAAGGAAATAAGGTAATTGAAGTTTCAGTGATTTAGTATTGGAATGTGTCCCTAATACACTGCATAGAAAAAATCTGTTTCCCATTTTCCTGAAATCTTTTCTTGCTATATGGCAATCAAGCATATAGGTCTGCCTTAGCAATCAGTGATGGACTTGAGTTCATTTGTGTGATAAAATGGATACAGATTTCTTTCTGGCTCTTTCCTCAATCTTAGAATATTTTGAACATTTCTGGATTCAGCATTTATTTCAATAAATCTGATATGTATAATTACTCACTTTTTAATTGTAAATGCCTTTGCGATGATATATTGTTCTCTCAGTTTTTCCATCAGAAGCTCTTTTTTTGACTTCCTTTTTATGCTGGACACACTGCTTCCTTTTTGACTACTGTTGCGTGTGCTGGTACTTCCTGAAATTTCAGGTGGAGAAAGAATTATTGTACTTGTAAGGGAAAGCTCAAAAGAAAAGGAAAAAAAATCTGGATCTGCATATCCTTATTCTTTCTCTACACTTTGAAAAAAAAATATTCCTTTAAACCACGATTAATAAGAATAAGCAAGAATAAAAATGTGAAGCAAAAGATGAGTTCCTTTTATCAAACAAAACAAACAGAAAATCTCTCTCAGGTTATTACTCCTGTGCTTGGGATCATTTTTACTTGTAAGGTAATGGTAAAGGTTTCCCTCACACATATAGGCTAGTCATTTCCGGCTCTAGGGGGCAGTGCTTGTCTCCGTTACAAAGCCAAAGAGGCAGTGCTGTCCGAAGATGTCTCCATGGTCATGTGGCTGGCATGACTAAATGCCGAAGGCGCACAGAACGCTGTTACCTTCCCACCAAAGTGGTCCCTATTTTTCTACTTGCATTTTTACATGCTTTCGAAGTGCTAGGTTGGCAGAAGCTGGGACAAGTAACAGGAGCTCACTTCGTTATGCAGCGCTAGGAATTCAAACCGTCGAACTGCCGACCTTTCTGATAGACAAGCTCAGGGTCTTAGCCACTGAGCCATTGTGTTTCAACTTGTAACTTTGTAGTGAAGACCAAAAAGGCAAAAACATGCCAATGCATTCTTCTGTCTTGAAAATCCACTTTTCATTCACATTATTCAGCAATTACAGAATGGAAAACTTTTAATTCTAAAATGAACCCTGGTAGAGCAGTGGTTAGAATGCAGTATTGCAGACTAACTGCCCATAGTTTGGAGTTTGATCCGGATAGGGCTCAAGGTTGATCAGCCTTCCATCTTTCTGAGGTCAGTAAAATGAAGAGCCAGATTGTTGGGGGAAAGATGCTGACATTGTAAACTACCCAGAGAATGCTGTAAAGCACTATGAAGCAGTATATAAGTCTAAGTGCTATTGCTATTAGATATGACTTGATTGGATAATGAAATGTAGGCAAATAACAACCAAGCTCAGACAGCACCAGGGCTTCACATTGTAGTTGTGATGACCCGTAGTCTCTTAAAATAACCCAAAACCCAAAACATACGTTAAAGTCCAGTAAGGCCTTCAACTTAAACTTCACTGTTTTATTAGGCACAGTTTAAAGTCACAAAAGTAAATAATGAGGCAAACAGAAAACCAAAACAAACCGCACTGATGAGAGTTCCGAAGCAAGCCAAGATAACTAATCATAAACTCCAGGAAAATAACCAAGAAAAGTCCATGGGAAGAATGCCAGCAAAGATAAACCTCTTTCAAGGTGAACACTAAATTGACTCCTGCAAATTCTAACTGCGCAGTTGCAAACTTATATACATAGCTCCCACCTGCAAGCCACGAGGAGGATCATGGTAATCTCCTCTTGAGTAGACCTCGCTTTTCCCTGATCCTCTCCTCCCTGTGTGACCTAGGATGGATAGGGGATGAGCCTGGATCCTCCTCTGACTGCTCAGGCAGCCTCTGCCCTTCCCCAGCCTTCTCCACCACTTCTGGAGCCACACTCCCACTCCTTGTTGGCTGTTCCTCCTCTTCCTCAGAGTCAGTCTCCACCAGGGGTATGACAGTAGTTCTAAAGTTATTTCAAACTGACTTTTTTTTATAGCTCAAGATGGCAAGTTTACCTAATATTCCTTCCTCTTCCTGTTACATCCCAACAACCACCCTGTGAGGCAGGTTAGGCTGAGAGACCTATACAAAGTCACTTGCAGGTTTTCATGCCTAAAAGGGGACTAGAATTCACAGTCATCTGGACTCTAATGTGATGCTTTATTTACAAACTATACCAATCTGTTTCTCTTCTATATATTTATATAAAATAAATATATAAACTGCAAACTGTAAATTTATATATATAATTTTATAGCATAATGTTCTTTAAAAATATTGTCAGGGAGATAAAACTTATTTTAAGGTAGGGAGTTCTGCATTAATGTGATTGTTAAAATTCCTAGATTACCTTTTAAGATATAACTCAGACATCTTATGGATTTTAAAACACAACAAATACCTGAAAAATAAAAATGCTACATAATAAATTAAAGCCACTAAAATATATTCTTAACAAGAAATATCCATTTTGCTTTCTAACAGGTTTTTAGTATTTGCCTAAAATAATGTCAGGTTTGTGGCATTGATAGGATAAAATAGTTCTTCAAAGAAAATAATAGGTCAACATATTACAATAACTATCTATGCTTAGCTTTCTTTAATATAAGGGTCATTGTTGCCTATGATTTAATGGGTATTCTTTGCTACTTTCTTTCTTGAAAGAAAAGCTTAGGCAAATACAAAACAGAACAGAGTCCTGACACCACCAGTCATACCTCTCTTTGAACGGTGAGAGGAGAAGCTGGATCTCTGTGATAAATGTGAGCCACTGCTTGAACTTTTCCTGCGGATAGCGGTTTGCTGTTCTGGGAAATGGACATGTATGGATTCAACAGATGCTGCCAAATTGACTGACGTCAAAGAGTCAGCAGAATCTCTTCTATATGATTCAGCCAACTCATCATCTGAGTCATCTTTACTATTCCCATTGTCTCCTCCATCTTCCTCATCCCATAATCCATGACACTAAAAAGAAGAACATTAAGGTATCTTCAGAGTTGCTGGTATTCTTTGTTAGAGTTAGATATTGAGTGTTTTGGATATTGTTTCACTTTATACAAACCTTTGGCTTTGGTCTTGTCATCTAACCTGTGATAACATTATTACAAAAAGTGTTTCATTTTAATAATTTCCATGCTATAATCAGTTTTTATTTTCAGAAATGCTGTATAGTGTGCAGTAAGTGTACACTACTATTACTGTTAATCTTCTCACCACTCCTTATCACCCATCCTCTCCCACTTGACTGTTTCCTAGTATGATTTGATTGTTGATTGTACCCTATGACTATCATTAAGTGTTGTACGTTATGATTCTTGATTCTTAATGAATGTACCTTTTCTTTATGTATACTGAGAGTATTTACACCAAGACAAATTCCTTGTGTGTCCAATCACACTTGGCCAATAAAGTATTCTATATTCTATAGTTTTCCTGGATTTTATAGCCTTGTATGTGGGATGATTATAGTTGAAATGGTGTGCCATGACCTTTAGGGAAGAGTTAGAAAATTACCAGGGGACAGAAATTTGACTTTTCCCTGGCCTCAAGGATCTGCTGTCCTCACATTTTTCTGCACACTCATTTATATACATACCATATGCACATAAAGACACATGTACAAATATTTTTCTTAACTGAGGGACACATTTTTCTTGCCCTATCTGATAAAGCTTCTTTTTACAACACTGGGAGAGAGTAAAATGCTTATCTTTGGAGATTTCTTTAGTAACTGAGACAGGCAAAGGACTTAACTATGAAAACTGGAGAATATAAACCCTTTCCATAGACTCAGCACTAAGATTGAGAGATGAATTGAGCATGAAACTTCTGAGTTGCATACAACTACTTTCCAATTAAAAAAAAAAGTAGGTACCTTCATGCATTTTTGAATCAAGCATGAAGTTATTCTCTTTTGGTTTAGTGGAGCACTATTTTATTAAAAAGAAAAAGAATGGAAGCCAGGTATGCTGGAAGGTATACATGCTGACAGTTTTACTATTTTGTCCCCCAAATAAAATAACAAATAAAATATACCTTTAAAATGGACCGATGGAAAAACAAAGCAAGTAGTTGAACAAGGTCGCAGTGCACATAACCCTCTTTCTTCTCAATACCAATAATATTAGGAGCAAAATATGGTCTATCTTTTTTTAGTTCTAGTTGTTTATTCCAAGGGAAGAATCCAAACTGGAAAAAATACTTTATCACTATTGTAACCTATTGTGAAGAGAGAGAGAAAAATTAATCATTTTCATATTAAACAGAAAAACTAACACAATCTAGTTTCTTAACAATTATTATGCTTGAGGATAATAAAAAATGGGATCAAGATCTAAAATTGATCTGTAATACTTAAGAAAGTTGAAATCCAATAATGCTTCCTAAAAATTCACAAGGAAAACTTGATTTCCTGCTTCAGAATTACTAGGCAATCTCTTGCCTTGTTTTTTCATTGTTGCTGACATCATTGGATTTCTTAACAGATTTCTCAAAACAGACTGACAATTTTATTATTTTCTAACCCTTGTTAAAATCAGTCTAACATGTGGAACAAGATGTCACAAACAGTAGTGGATTCTCATTGCTAGTGGTTTCAAAGAGAGAATGGATAGACAACTATCAGAGGCATTCCACCAGTGGATCCCATATTGACTGGGTATGGGTGCGACTGGATGATCTCTATGGTGTAAAGTGAAATTTTCACTGTCCATCTGCACTTCCAGTTTCAAAACTGTCTTTGGTTCAGTTTGGAATGAAAGAGTTTTCCACATTCTGAAGCACTGCTGTAAAATAAAATAATATAAATAAAAGAGAACCCAATATGTACCTCTACAACATGTGTGGTGTTGGGGGTTTTCGGTTCAATGTGTGGAGTGTGAAGGATGTGTGTTTGTGTTTATTTTCGTGGTCATGATGTGCACTGAAGATGGTGTTTGATTTCGTTGTACGAGGTGCAATGACAATAAAGTAAACTAAACTAAACTACAAGATTAGAAAGTTCAGATGAGGGGAAAGAAAAAAAGAGAAAGGAGAACAGGAAGCTGGGAAAATGGCCTGGCACAACTTTTTACCATTTTTATGACCTTAGGAAGAAAAGGGGTGCTGGACTGAAGACAAAACTATGCATTTGCCATTTCCTTGCAGGTGTGGAACTTTGCTAGTATTTTTGTTGATGCTGAATCTTTGTAAGGCTTTGAATACTTCCTCTCGATTTTTTTAGACTAGGTTTAAAGTCATTGGCGTTGAGAATAACAGAAGTTTTTGCAATGGCAAAGAATAGCAAAGGATTTAGTAGTCTCTCTTAAAAATATTACATTACTAACTAGAGCATACAAAACATTTGCTAGACTAATACTCGAATACAGCTCATCAGTCTGGAACCCACATTACGTACCTGATATTAACACAGTTGAGAAAGTCCAGAAATATTTCACAAGAGTTCTCCACTCCTCTACTCATAGCAGAATACCTTATGCCACCAGACTTGAAATTCTAGACCTAGAAAACCTAGAACTACGCTGCCTTCAGTCCGATCTAAGTATAGTATATAAAATCATACATTGCAATGTCCTACCTGTCAATGAATACTTCAGCTTCAACCATAACAATACAAGAGCAAACAATAGATACAAACTCAACGTTAATTGCACCAAACTTGATTGCAGGAAATACGACTTCAGCAACAGAGTGGTCAATGTCTGGAATACTCTACCCGACTCTGTGGTTTCTTCCCCAAACCCCAAAAACTTTAACCTTAGATTTTTTACTGTTGACCTCACCCCTTTCCTAAGAGGTCTGTAGGGGGCGTGCATAAGCACACCAACGTGCCTACTGTCCCTGTCCTATTGTTTCTTTTATTTTTCTTATATCTTTCTTTTATTTTTCTTATCTTTCTTATGTATTCATAACTATGTATATACTTATACCTATTATCTTGTAAGCAATTGACAAACCAAATAAAATAAAATAAATAAAATATTTGTGCCTATGTGTGTGTGTACATGTAGGTACGCACACACACATACATACACAACACATTTTAAAGAGAAATGCTAAATCCTTTGCCATTCTTTGCAAATGCCCTTGGTGTGTGTGTCCCCGCAGCAAGGAGGATAGACTTATTCTATCGGTGTGTAGGTGCCTAGTCAACCTGATAAGGGCTCTGGGGAGAGCTTGGGGTTGTTCCTGAGAGTTTGGCACACAACCTGAAGCCTTATTTGCTTCTTGAAATGAATGCAAAGTCGGGGCTTTAAATTAATTCAGGTTTACACAGCTTCTCTCTTCTTGTGGATTCAGGGGCTCTTCTTGGTTTAAAGAGGAGCTTAAGGAAATGAAATGAGGAAGAGGTGCCTAGAATGCTACTAGGGGATAACGTGAGTTGAATCCAATTCAGCATGACCTAGAGCAGCTAGTAAGGCCTACCTCTAAGGGTGGCAAAGCAAAGGGTACTCATTTTACCGAATTTGAAAGTATGGAAAACTGAGTCAACCTTGAGCCCCGTCAGGATTTCTTTTTTTATATAAAAATTTTATTTGGGTTTTCACAAAACATAATACAAATAAAATTTCTTTTTTTTTTTTTTTTGAGAATAGCATGGTCCCGGATTATTACTTCTCCATACAGACACAAATTCAATTTCATATTCATCTTTGTGTTCTATTCCATATCTTAGTACTATTTTAACATTTTCTCAATAATTTTTCCCTTCCCTTAGTTTTCTCAATCTTACTTTTAATTATCTCATTCCTTTCTAAATTCAATTACATATATCTTTTTCTAAGTTTCAATACCTTCCTAGTCATCATATTTATACTTTTGTCTCTCCTGTTTCAATTTCATATTTTCTTTTCTCATTAAACAAAATTTTCCACTGTAGTTACTAATTGGAGTATGACACTTTTGTATCTTTTAATTTTTATCCATTCAGCTCTTATTTAAACTTCAATTTATGCCTTTACAATTATAACATTCAATATAACACATAACTTCCAGTTGAATTCTGCTTGGTACATTCTTAAAATACGCACTAAGTTCTTAAAGAGAAAATATATATATAACAATAATAAATAAAATACTTATTCTATTCCAATTCAGCTCTATCATTAATGTTAGTTATAATCTTTGACATCTTTAACATTTCTTTTCAATAGGATATCATACTTCTGGGAACACTTATAATATTTCCATAATTTTTTCATGTTTCTTTCATATTCCTCTTCACTTAAATTTTTATAACACATTTATAATAATTAAAATGTTCCCCTCCTTTCCTAATTTCATTCTCTCATTCTCTTTATTTCATTTATTTATTAAACATTCCATTACATTACAATGAGTATTTTATCTATCATTTTAATCACACTTGTTTCATATTTTCAAAGTTCATTTCTATTTCTAATATAACAATACTATCTTATGTACCCTTGCAGAATCCCGCTTTCAATTAAGTTTTCACCCATTATCTCTGTGTCTTGTACGTTTTCCCTGCTTCTCTATGTCCTGTTTCTGTCCTCTATAATTTCTTTTCCTTTCCCTCTTCTCCCTCTTCTTCTCCCTTCCCTTTTTGACCCCTTCTCTCTCTAATTCTGATTCTCTCTTCTGTAATCCTCTCTTCTGTTTCTTCCTAATGTTGTAATTACTTTTCAAACTATTCTTTTTTTGAGTTGTTTTTTCAGATCTTAAATTTTTAACTCTCTTTCCCCCCTTTCCTTTCTTTTCCCCACATAGAAATACTTGGTCATTGAAGATGGCTTCTTCTTTGTCCCGCCCTTCTTGTTCTACAGGCATTTCTTGTTGTTTCTCATAGTTCAGGATCTCCATTTCTAAAAATTGAAATACGAAGCCAAAAGAACCTCTTCCTTCTTGTGCATCTTCTTTCTATTTTTTAAGTTCCATTCTCAATTCTTCCAAGAGTGATACCATTTTAAAAACTTTTAAACAATCACCTGATTGATTTTAGTCCTTTAAATCCAATAGCCAAAAATCCAAAAATCCAAATAATCCAAAGCTGTTTCTTCTTGCTTCTTTTTTCCACTTTCTCTTCCTGGGGTTCTCTTATCTTGTTACAAAGTTTCAGTTAAAATGTATCTTTTAGGAATCTTGTTAAAGTTTCACTGTTAATTCCTTTCACTTCCAGGTGGTCTCCTCCCTTTTTCCAGATCCCACCCTTTTTTTCCCTTCTTTTAAAAGCTTTTGAGAATCCAGAAATCTTTATTATCCCTTTGACATTTTATTTTCAGCTTAAATACCTGTTAATGTCAAAGTGGATTTTTGCCGGTTTTTTGCTTAAATCTCTTAGCTGTCAATATAGGGAAGAAAAAAAACACCAAATCCTTTCCCTTCCCTCTCTCATTTGCCCCTTCAAAGTTTTCCTTGAGAACAATGTTGTTCTTTATAATTCAAATTCCAGGGTACCTTGTATTGTTGTTTTTCCAGTTCAACCCGGTCAGCCAAAACTTCCTCTTCTTATTTTCCTCCTGCACATTCTTTTCCGGTCGAGTTCTTCTTTGAGGTGGCCATTTCTGACCACCGCTGCAACCGCCTTCAGGAAAGGGAGTAAGTCCAGCTGGGGAGGAGAGATGTGACTCTCCTCAACCCTGCTGGCAGTCTCCCCCCTCTTCACCACATCTACGGGGTGGCTTAGCCCCGAAACCAGCCAGCTCAGGGCGCTCCAGCGGTGAGCACAGGTCGAAACTGCGCACAATCGCAGATTTCTGTCTGTCACCAAATAAGCTCAAACCGGAAGCCCCTAGCCCCACCAGGATTGAACTCCAGGCTGTGGGCAGAGTTTTCGTGCAATACTGCATTCTACCCACTCCACCACCAGGGCTGAAGGAGGAAATGGTTTCACCAATATATACAGAAGTGATAACCTGTCCCTTTTCAAGAAGCCCTCATTAGACCCAACCATTTTGGACAATTTAAAGAAAATTGAGGTGGTCAGTCTATAATTGCAGAGGACTCTTGGAGAAGTGAAATATATGGATTCCCTTCAGTCAGGTTTCAGGCCTAAGTATGGCATTGAAACAGCACTGATTTAATGTTTTTGCCTTATTTATTGCTTTAATTTTTATTAGTGCCCAACTAAAAAGATACTCATTTGGTCTTTTAGCTGCCAGAAAAAGGGAGTGGGGGAAAACAAGGCATTGCTTAAATGCCTAGATAATCACCCTGGCAGCCCAAATTGTTTGGAGTGTAAGAAAGTTATTGGAGAGCATGATGGATGACTCTTGGAGATGGATGTGTCCCATTGGAGAAGTCACATCCAGGGAGTGGGGGGAAGACCAGGATCAAGGGGGAAATGTATGATGTAATTTAGTATCGGCTGCACCCAGCTAAATGCCAACATGGCCACTTCTAATAAATCAATTTTCTTTTCTCAGAGAGGCGGCTAGAGACTTTTGATTTGAATGAGGGTGGATTTGTTGGAGCTCTGACATTATGATATTTTATTGACACAAATTGATTTAAGTAAAATAATCATCCAGAAGTATCTGGGCACCAGAATGTGATAACTGCAACTGTCTTAGGAATGCCCATCTCTTAAGAAAAATATCTGGCTTGCATGAACCGGCTAGGTGAAAAACCTTTAATACAGTGTAAGAAATGTGGGGGAAATTAGGCCTAACAAGATGAACAGATAGATTGTAGCTCATGCACCTTACATATTATGAATTTTTTTGTGCATCAAGAAGTCCATTGTGGTTTACACATTGTGGTAATTTAGCACTAAACAAAATGATTCAAACTTGAGTCACTCCTTTTTTCCCCTCCTTCATCGAGGTCACAAGAAAGACTGCATCTGCTTTCTAAAATAATTACCCAAAGCATACTTTGCATTACATATAACCATGAATTATATTAGGTGACACTGCTGGTTACTAAAAAAAGTCAGAATCCAAAGCCATGAATTGATTGTGGTTTCTTTCAAGAAACCATACTTTGAACAAATTACAGCTTGCTCAGGCTTAAACGTAATAACTGAAGTTAGTTTAAACCAGAAAGCAGATGCTTCCAGTCTCTTTCTAAGCCAGAGATGAAGGCAAAGTTCTTGTAACATTGAAAGGGTTATTCAACAGCTATTGACCAATGACATACCTCAGTATAGATTATAGCTGTCATCCAAAAACGTTTGCTAGGCCTTGGAACAGATAGCATTGCCCAAAGGAAGATGAGGATAGGAAGCACAAGGGAAATTGTTGAGGCAGAGAACATATGATTAAGAATGATCACAAAATAACACACCATTTCTGAGCGGGCTACAAGTGTATTATATAGAGCATAAATAAGAAGTAAATGTCGAGGTTGACCAGCGTAGAATTTCTCAGACTCATCTAGTTCATCATCTTGAAACATTCTGTAGGAATAAAATTAGATCCCATGATTTTATATGCTAATTATATGCAAGCATTTTAAATTGGGATATAGAATATAGAATAATAGAATTGGAAGGGGACTTGGAAGTTTTCTAGTCCAATCCCTACTTATGGCAGGAGATCTTATTCTAGAGAATAATCTGTAAGTAATAGCAAAAGCACTTAGATTTATAGTGGTTTACAATGTCAGCATGCCCCCATCAATTTGGGTCCTCATTTTACCAACTTTAGAAGGGTAGAAGGCTGAGTCAACCTTGAGCCAGTCAGGATCGAACTCCAGGCTGTGGCCAGTGTTAGCCTGCAATTCTGCATTCTAACCACTGCTGCACCACAGCTCTTGTTAAATAATAACAATGCTTCTGCATAATAGAGTATTGTTCAAGAGCTATGCAACTAATTTCACAGATCAAGCTATAAACTATACCTTGGCTTGCTTATTTTCCAAACCGACAAAGATTGGTACTGCACAAATCAATTATATTTAAGAAAATCCAGTTAAATCAGGACATTTGAAAAGATAAGTGAATTCAGCTGGTTAAATAAACAGCAAAAATCCCCAACTGCCAAATGTTTTCACGAAGAATTTTCATCACCATTGTAACTATTTTGTGTACTTAATTAATCATGGATACCTACTTGTTAAGTAGTAATTCACTTGCAGTTAGTTCATGTGTCAAAGGAGGAAGAATAGAATCTTCTGGTTTTTCAGACTGATTTTCATCTGGGCTCACTAACATTTGGTTTCTACTAGATGAATCATCCTGGGAACTGTCTAAGGGGAAAAGTTCCAAGCTCACAGCTTTGCTATATGATGGAGGGGGTTCAGCAATGCCATCCATAGCAGAATAGGATGGCATATCTGAATCAGAAATATATGCAACTCCTTCAGAATCCATACAGTAATCTTCCATTTCATGTTCTTCTATGGGTTCAGTTTCTGCCTCTTCTCCTTCATGGTCCTCCCCTTCGACCTCTTCAATAGTTTCTGCTGTCCCCTGACGGGAATACAGCATAGTGACTTGGGTAGCCTCACTGTCAAGAATAAGGAAGAATATTTTTGTCAATTTCTCACTTGATGTTATTTGTAAACATTTATTCCTCTTTTAAAAAAATTAAAATTGAGTTGTTGATTCTACATTGGATTTCACTATTATATCACTGTGGACCTGACAACATCAGTTTTGGAAATATTCACATTCCCCAAATGTTTTCATGTTGAAAAAGTTTAGATTTGTTTCAGCATTTTAGAAGTTATTATGATTCTGTTCATTAATCAATAACCAACATTAAGATTGTTTAATTATGTTGTATGCCATGCAATGTTTTATTTTAAAGTACTTTAAGGTATTTTTAAATTTTATTGTTACATATTACCTGCGTATGAAGAACAGGTTCATGGTATATGTTTTATAAGGCATAAATGAATTGGGATCATACAATGAATGGTCTATCTTCTCTGCTTTAAAAATATCCCTTGTGTCTTGGGCATAGTTAAACATTTTTGTAAGCAATAATGTTAATTGAAGAGAACCAGAATCATAAATCAGCATCTGAATGCAGCATTCCAAGCTCTCAGTAACTAAAAAGTAAAACTATAAAGAGGCATATAATTAAGAATCCTGAGAGCAAAAAATATAAGGATTAAAGTGAAGATATGTAAATGACATATACGACATATTACTATCAGTCAAAACAAGACAGAACTGCTTCAAATGAATATGCCAATAGTTTTACTTTTACAAATGCAAACTTCACTTTACATTGCCAAAATATATAGTGGTTGGGATAATTGAGTGAAAAGCATGCAAGGATTAAGCACCTTGATACTATACTGCCACTGTCAGCGGATGAGGAGGACATATCCATGCTGTATGTTTTACGAAGCCTAGGTCGTGCACGTTCACTTGTTTTAGGAATAGGGTCTGGACCATCTAAATCATCAAGAGTAGATTGCCTGGACAACAACAGTGTAGTTGCTTCCGTGCAGCAGCTATCAGTGCAAACAATTACAAAGACAATGTTATATACCAATGGCATCCTGATGTGGCTCAATAGTGAACGTGCAGATTGGCCAAGCAAAATACCAATGGAGACATAGACAAAAAAGGATTTAATGGAAGATAACAAGCTTTTTGGTGCCAAAGTAGACTATTCTTATTCTGATAACCACACAAGATCAGTAATAACAAAATGTGAAGCCAGGAAAAATTAGGATATAAGCTTATTTATGGTATAAGGCTAATGGAATCCATGCATTCTAGTAAGATGGATAAAATGCATCATTTTTAGCTTCTTTACTCTAACAGTAAAATTTGATCAGCAGCTAAAAATGTTGCAGTTAAGCAAGCACTACAAATTGATATTTTAAAAAGATATAGCCAAATATATTAAAGTTATTGTAAATAGCCTATACTAAAACTAAAAGGGTGCTATATTATTTTAAGTCCAAAATATTGATCTTTTAAAAAAAATACAATTGTCTTTATCCCAGTGCAGCCAAAACAATTTTGGGAGGTTTTAATTCTATTTTTCTCCAGCTTAGAAATGGACATACCTGAGAACAATGAAACAAACCAGATATAAATAATGTGTAAGCAGCAGCTTTTTTTGAATAGATAGTAGATACTCATTTTTCATGATACTAGTTGAGACAATTTTTGAAGAAAAATGTTTTTCTTTAAAATGAATTAAGAAAACTTTGCACAAAATCTGATCATAGGACCCTAGAGTCATATGAACATGTTCTGTTTACCTGCTCCGGCCTTAAAAATGGAAGTTTTATGCACAGAATAACACATAGAAGTTCCTCCAAATGAGAAATACTCATAGGGTCAGAGTCAGTTCTCAAATGGAACACATCTCTGCAGCAATAATCTTTTGTAATGTTGCAAAATTAAATGATACGGGAATATGATATAATATGGGAATCAGTTTTACTATAGATCACTGAGTTTAGGGATCTGCTATTTGAGAATAATTTGTGGACTCTCACGTTCTTTTAATACACAAGGATACTGTATATTTAAAAAGTGTGAACTTTTTGGTACTACATTTATTGAAAGTCACGCCAAAAATAATACTTCATTGGATAAAAACACTGCTGCTTTCAAGTATTCTTAACATAAGAAAATCAAAGAATTAATCATATGTTGGCTATCATCTTTTAAATAGGATAATACAATATTCTATGCTACTTTAGCATCAACTACAAGCTAAGTTTCATTACTAGATGTTTATATATTTATGAAGATCATCCTCTATATACTTAGAATTATTGTGCTCATTGTAAGAGAATACCTGGATTCGCTGTCACGAGAAGCTGCTGATTCTAAACTTGCAGTCCTCTCAGCCTGTCCAGGCTCATAAATTTCATCCAATCCTGATTCCCTAGAAAGTTTCATCATATGGTTCTGGTAATACATATGGATACTCTCTCGAGTTGGAACATTTCCCTGAGAAGGAAAATGTAAACTTTAGGAAATTAAGCAGGCTAACGTTTAGGAGACAAATCAGGGCAGTAGAAAAAAAGACTTTCCCTTGGCTTGTTAATTGTTTTGTAAGAACTTTTTAAAAAAGAGAAATAAATAAACCCAAAGTTAGAGTTGTAAAGTGAATTAAAAACCCACCATTCATGAATATTAGACTCTCGTGAGTGCTGTAATATTGTTTTCTTTCTATGTCACTCCTAAGACTTTCCTCCATAGTCTATGACAGCACAAACAGCACAAAACTAAAACCAAAACTATTCATTTTAGCATGCCAGAAAAGAAGAAAATACAATGTAGCTACTATTTACAAGATTCTAACGGCCCTCCAACAGTTAAATCAAATTAAATGTGAGATCACATATGTTTTTCACCATCATGAAAAATATACGAACATCTTGTAGTACCTTTTTTATTTCTCTAGTTAGCATACATCTCTCAATTCTTAATACTGTGGAAATATCAATATGCTCTCTTGAAACTGAATTTAGCCAAGCTGTAAAACTGTCTATTGTTGCCAGACAAAGAACCCAGGTAAACTTCAAAATGTTATATATTCTTTTAAAAATATTATCTGGGGAAAAAACAAGAAAACATGCTTTACAAAATGATACTCAAAACAGTAAACAGTTGTGAATGTTATAACAAAAACAGATCCAAGAACTATTATCTGGGGATAAATTCCAACAAACTCAGGAAAATATACTTTTCATTTGATGTGCATAGCATGACACTGTTTTTTATGGAATTTCTATTTCCAAGGGTTAGTGATTAGCAAAACTTTAGAATAAGACTTATTTCATTTTAGTATCTATTGGTATAATTGTTAGATGATGCTGGGAACTTTGCTCTGCCTATATGAAAATGTTTATTGCCAGACGTTTCTTAAATTTTGCATTTGACTTTAAAATCACTTTGCAGTTAATCAACATATTTTACACTATGTATTACTTGCACTCTTAGCAGTATTTTTTCTCTTCAAAAAGTAGTGACAGGCATGAAAAATGATTATGACTGCAATACCTTTTAGCTGAAAATGGTATTTGAACAACTTGCCAGATTCACACTAATGTATGGAAGTTAGCTTGAATTATATAACATTTAGAATTTTAAGTGACTTTCAAGATAAAAATATCAGTAAATTTTCCAGTATATATACAGTATTCTATCTTTATTTTAAAGATAATTGCGCTTCACCATCAGCTGCTATTATTTAAAATGAAAACTTAGCTTGCTTCTTGGCTTACCAGGGCCATCAGATTTACTTTTGACAGGTTCATCTCTTTCTGCACCCTCCATATCTATTTCAACTGACAAATCAAAATGAAAGAAGTGAGCAAAATTAGACTTATTGACTTTAATTTTAATTTTTTTAACTGAACACATGATGAAATGTATTTATATTGAACACAACATCAAGCTTCTTTAATGATGTCACACTGCTGAATTAATACTTTGCACTGATTGCTTGACCAATACTACCTTTTTTCCCCAAACCAAAACTAACCCTCTAGTTGCCCCAAAGGTGCTTTTTCAAGAGGCAACCGGACTGTTTTATTTTTGTTTGAAGATGTTTCACTTCTCATCCAAGAAGCTTGTTCACTCTGACTGGATGGTGGGGAATAGAAGGATTTATATTCCTGGCAGACAGCTGGTCATTTGCATTGGAGGTTTATCTGTGTCCATTCATAATCCATTCATACTCCCGTACCTTTCGAAGGGTATTCATCCCATTATCCCAAACATCCTGCAGAAAGCACAGCTCCAACTCTTCTCAGCAGTTCCAAGAAGGCTCCACAGTCCACATCCATTTGCGCTACACAGATGACCCCAAGGACACAGATAAACCTTCAAGTGGCCTCAACAATTCTCTAAGAGAATGCAAATGACCAGCTGTCTGCCAGGAATATAAATCCTTCCACTCCCACCCATTTTTCAGAGCTGAAAAAGCTTTTTGGATGAGAAATGATACACCTACAAAGAAAAAAAAGAAAATCCAGTTGCCTCTTGAAAAAACATCTTTGGGACAACCTTGACCTGGATGACTGAGGATCTCCATAGACATTTAATACTCCAGTTGTTATTCTCCAGTAATAATCTAGCAGTAGTATTAGTCTATATAATGCCCATGATGAGTACTGAAAAACTAACAAACAAAGATTAATTGCACTGGCAATAAATCTTGAATTTCCTTATTCTGTTTCTTTATTTTCTTTATTTGCTTGGACTTTATTTCAATAATTTTTGGCTGCCTAGACTCCATGTGACTAAACTGAAGAACCACATCCTGTTGGTAATTTCCATGAAATCATAATTTCCTGAGATCTCTAACTAGAGATCTCTAACTAGAGATCTCTAACTAGAGATCTCAGCAAAACTATGGAAGCTACCTGTGCTTTTCTGAATGCAAACTATGGTTCTTCTACAATCAAAACAGAAAATGCTATTTGTATAGTTAACGGATAGCTGAAAATATTTCTGAAGCATACCATCATCAGATAATTTCTGCCTTTTTTTATTCTTTTTATTCTCTTTGAGCCTCTGTCGTAGGGCAGTTTTAGGATCAGTAATCCAAGCCTGATAAAGAAACTAGAGGGGAAAAAACAATTTATTTATGTTCTCTAGGAAATAAATGTTAAGCAGATAACAAAAAGCGTATAGATTTGGAAAATGTATTTAGAATTGGAAGATTATGGAAACATAAACCATTTAGGAAATGATTTATTCAAGTCTAAATATTTCAAATAATGTTTGTAACTTTGATAAACCAAAACATTTGAGCAGAACTGTAGATTCTTATGAATTTGGTATGAATCTATAACAATTATGTTGAAAAATCTGAAAAAAAACTAATGATTTTATATACAGACTATAGTTCAATTTAATTTTAAATTTAGTGTCAATACAAGTACAAACCAGATCCAATTAGGCAATATCTGGAATTATTTTTAAATGATTGACCAAATCTTTCAAAATAGGAATACATTTTTCATGTTATTATTCCCAGGTATTACACATTGATTTGTCCAATCCATAACTCATATGATTAATAAAAATATTTCTGTAATAACTGTTTGATTAAAAAGATTAATCTTCAGAATGAAAATCTTTTGCTAGTTAACACTATATTACTAATGACACTTATTAGCTGTAGCCAACACAAATATATAGATACATGCAAAGGAAAGCAGATGAGAAAATAAACAGAAGATTGTTTATTAGCAAGATAAGCATGCTTATGTAGAATATGCCATCATTAGATAAATCACTAATGTTACTCTAGTTGTATTTAAAATTTCCGTTTTAATGTATAACACATACTTTGGTGTGTATTAATATATGTATTTTAAAAAATATTTAACTTGATAAAAATAAAATAAGATGTGAGCTTGTGACTTATGTACATAGAAAAAATATAATTAAAAAGAAAGGAAGGAGTTTCTGTCAATGTTCTGTCTTCCTTGAAATCCACAAGTCTTAAAGTTGCCAAGCTTGGATATCCTTGCTCTATAGTAACAACTTTTGACAGAACAAATTTAGAGATGTTCTAGGTAAGTTTTTCTTACATATAGACTTCCAAATTTTCCATAAATCTACCTTCTGTTTTGCATTCTTGTGCAATCTTTCTGACAAATATTATCATACAGAGTAAAATTCCACTCTACTACATTTATCTAGTACCTACAAATGCATGCAATTTGATGGAATCTGCTTAATACGGTTTAGACAAAAAGTCTAGGATTATGCCAAAGATTTGGCTCTGCATTTTCTTTCTTTTCATTATAGCTAAATTGAGATATCTCATCTTTAAGTTGGTTAATTGAAAATGTTAAGTCAAATCCTTGGTTGTCACAAAACCTCCTCAAACTTATATTAAGAGGAAAAATGCAGTAAAGGGATACTCTGCCAGAATACAATGGGAACAAGATCTTATTCTACATGATATATAATATCAAATACCTTTGCAGCTTTGATTAAATACTGAAGAATAGTTTTGGGCAGTTTAATAATAGACTTTGGCAAGGCTAAAATGGCTGAAGCAAATTTCGCAATAGCTCTCTACAAAGAAGGATAAAGCAAGATAAATTAGTGAAAATGTAAAGGCTAATATTTTAAGAAACACACTGTACAATTCTATTAGCAGTAGGATTGATATTAAGTTAAAAAATGTTAACTGAGCATTCAATTTCGCAGTGCATTAGATTGAGTTACAAGACAGTGCATGAAAGTGATTTAGTTACACGAATAACAATTATATATTAGTAATCTGGATCAGGAAAGCAGATTCTAAATGAAACTTTAGTATTCCACAGATATAGTTACACATCCTTGTCTTTGCCTCTAATATCTTTATGAATGGATAGAAAATTCATGACAGACATATATATACATATATATATATATACACACACACACACACACTGTACCATTCTGTAATTTCTCAGATTAAAAAAAAAACTAATTCATCTGCTGCAAGATAAATATGAAGGGTATAATGAAAAACCAGTATAGAACAATTTAGGACAAAGCAATATAAACTCAGGATATTTATATAATTTTTGGATCCATAATACACAAAAATTACTTTCAACTCATGAACTTTAAACTAGTACTCTGATGAAACTAGAAAATACTGCCAGGTTTCAAATGAATAATACGTCTTTTGTAATTGGTATTTATCATGTAAGTTAATATAAATTAATAAATATACTCAATTGTAAAAAAGTAAAATTAATGTGTCCTATAAAGCAGGGGTCTCCAACTTTGGCAACTTTAAGACTTGTGGACTTCAACTCCCAGAGTTCCTCAGCCAGCAAAGTTGGCTGAGGGACTCTGGGAGTTGAAGTCCAACAAGTCTTAAAGTTGCCAAGGTTGGAAACCCCTGATATAAAGGATAGCTTGAGAAGCTGGTACTGGCTTTCTGTATGAGCTGCAGCTGGTACAAAATGCAGCAGCCAGACTACTGGAAGGACAATCCTAACAATGGAGAATAGCAACTATTTTATAGCCTCTGTTTGATTACCAGCAAATTTATTTATTCAATGGGTTATTTTGAGTAACATCTCATTTGAATTTAATTTGCTCATTGGTCTGGACTTCTACATAAGTTGAGACTCTTACTTCCTTTCAAAACCAATGAGGTATGGACAAGAACTCAGGCCTCTCTATGATACCCCTGTTTGTGGAGCGCTCAAACAAATATCCTCATAAACAAGTGTCTTTGTCCCATACTGATTATAGGCACCATCACAGTATAGCCTTGGATATAATAAAAATGGATTGGTTTTAACCGAATTGATTAATTCATGTATGTTGCTATTGCTGGCTGCCTAAAGTCTCTTTGGATTGGGATAGTTCGAAAAAGAAGTCAAACTAACATTCAAAGAAAAATTACAATATTTAGTTAGGCAAAATGTAAAGTATACAGAGTGAATCTGCCCTATAAATTCAGTCCAATTATATGACACTTTATAGAATTTAGCATGCTTAATTTACCACAAGCTCCTAAGTAAACAATCCCAATTTTTAAAAAACTTCTGTTCTGCCCAGCTGAACAATTATGGATGCAGATGTGACAGGATCACATGTATCCAGACTATGATATAATTTTCCATGCTGATTTACCTCAATGGTCTCTTTAAAGAATTTAGCCCATGGAATACACCTAATATCAGATTGCCGTACTTTATGAACATACAGATAGGGTAATCCATGGGTATGTGCAAAACTTTCAGATGACAGCTCTGGTTGTGGACCCATCTTGACATTTTTGCCCCTTTGATGTCTAGAGGCATCTGTTCTAAATCTGAATATCAATAATCAAATTGCTGGAGTTTGTTATATTTAAACAGTATTGACTTACTTCTCTAAGCTAGATAGATTTATTTTCAATATATTGTTAGCCTCTTATTTGTAAATAGAGATTTATTCAATCTTACAAAAGTTTATCTTCAAACCTGCAGTCTTTTCACCCAAGGCAAAAGGCATCTAAACAATCTCAAGGAATTGAAACTGAAAGGGTTTTTTAATAACTTCTCTCTGATACATTAAAAAAAACAGATTTAAGGACATAAAACATTTAAAAATAACCACTCTACATGCATAATTGAATGGAAATCCATCTCCAATACTGTTCTTGCATTGTAGAACTATGACAACTATGATGTACACAAAAATCAATTAAACAGAATCAATATATGTCATCATTTTTATTGCAATTCAGACCAATCAAGCTGCCGTTGTAGGCAAGGTATGAACAAAAAGTCAAGATAGCAATGCACATTTAAAAAATGGGCATAGATTTGATCACAAATGTTGTGGCTACCATTTTGAGCACATCCGGTAGCCACTCTCGTTTGTAGGAATACCATACAGGTAACAACAGTACCTGGAAAGCAGATCTTTTGGGAGGCTCTTCCTCTTCCTTTCCTTCCTCTTCCTCCTCTTCTTCACTGTCCGACTCAAACAAATAATAATCTCCACTTCTGACCACTAAGCAAAATAAAATATTTTTTTTTATTTATTGTAAGGAAACAATTCCCATAAGGTCTATCCTGAACCATGACTCAAAGACTCAAAGAAGTATGGTTATAGGAATCAGTGGCAGGATGTACAAAAATGGAGAATAGGCAAGGAAAGCACATAGGGATGTCTGTCATCACAAAAAAGAAACTTCAATAATAGGAACTTTATAGAATGATCAGTAGAAAAGAGTTGGAATATGTTAATGAAAGTTTGTAACATTTATAGCTTTCAAAAATTGTTTCTTTATTTGTGAGAGGTTGAGAGTTTTCTAATTCCAGAGGAACAAATGAAATTAATATGTGCTCTCTTCCCCCATCAAAGAACAGCTACTAAAACAGCTGCTAAAAGTCTGCTAGCATCTGGAAGCATTTTTCTCTTTTGCTATAGTCTTTAAGCTTAATATTAAGAAAATGATAAATACATTCTTGTAGATAACACTTTTTGTTGTAAGTTGTGAAACGGGTGCCTCCATAACTTCAAGTTGTAAGAGAATATGAATGAACTGGGCCTTATATCCTTGAACAGAAGCTCATTTTTTGAAACATTAACTAAGCTAATAAGTCCAAATGGATCAAAAAAGGAAAAAATAAATTAAATATTAAATATTAAGCAAGAGATAAAATTAAAGTCACAGCATTACATTTGCCTATTAAGACAATGTTTGCAAGTAAAATAAAATATTTTAATATATTTATTATTATAATAAGAAATGCAGATAGAATGACTTTTGAGATTATATTTTACCCTCATTATATAGCTTTCTGAACCATAAAAATAAATTATTCAATCATACCTTATCCTCTATTTTATCTAAAGCATATATTAAATAATGTATCCTAGGTCAAAGATAAATTGATAAATTGTGCCCTAACTAGGCTATAGAAATTTTTTCTTTAGCTTGAAGGTTAAAGAGAAGTGGAAAGCAAATAAGGGAAATATCTGAATAATATAGAATAATGAAAAGCTAGAAAATTGAACAGTGAAGTAAATGTAATCAGAGAATTATCTAAAACAAGGAAGGAAGAGCTTGAGTACCATAGAAGGAACTATAACGGTGCAGTGGTTAGAATGCGGTATTGCAGGCTAACTCTGCCCACAGGAGTTTGATCCTGACTGGCTCAAGTTTGACTCAGCTTTCCATCCTTCCGAGGTTGGTAAAATAAGGACCCAGAGTATTGGGGAAGTATGCTGATATTATAAACCGCCCACAGGATGCTGTAAAGCACTATGAGCAATACATAAATCTAAGTGTTATTGCTATTTTACAATTTATTTTACAGTTTACAATTATGATTTTGATCGCATCTCCCTGATTTATGAACTACTGTACACAAAATTAATCCATAGCATAAATATCATTTCACAAAAAACCTCTAATCTCTTTCTTATTTGAATTTTACTACTTTACAAATTTTATAATTAACTTTACTTAGCTGCATATTGGAGTTAATATTAGACTCATTTATTCTGATGTCATATACCAATATATATTTTGTAAATTACAATATGTAATCTATCTAGGATGTATATGTAGTTGGTATCTTCTAAAAGTATGAGTAGTTGTTTGCATAAATACGGCTGTTAAACATGTAAATCTACTTGTAAAAGATCACATTGGTTGTAAAATATGTACAGTGATGGTTGCACAAAGAGTAGATCTAGCTCAGGGGACACTATGAACCTCTTTGGTAACAATGTGTTCCATCTATACAGTATGAGTATATATGACATCTTATGTGAACATTGAAAAGCTATCAGTTTCTTTCCTCATACTGCATTTATCTAAACTTCTGCTCTTTTATGACTATAGGTATTAAAACAATTCATCCATTTATTACTAATAAGTGAATTGACAAATAAATTATCATAATATTTAATAATTTAACTTATTTTGTTATTAAAATTATTGTCTCCTAATGTCCTTAACAGAAGTCATTAGTAAGCCTTATATAAGTAAGTAATAATAAGTAATATAATTCAGCTGTATAAGTATATAATTCAGCTGTACATTGCAGGGTCTATACCCGCTTAATGTAAGTTGATATATCTGTAGAAGGATGGTATGATTAAACTGCAATAATGCACTCTTGCAGGCATTAATTAATGTGGTAGAGAAATATGATTCAATTGAAAATTGCAGCTTAATTTTCAATAAGATCGTACCTCTCTACTTACAAACCATTTCTTCACACATCAGTTGTAGCTGATCATTGAAATGGAGGATGTACAGTGAGTAAATCAGTGAAGCAATATTATTTTCTTCTCCACAGACTGATTCTTGCAAATGTTTTGGAGACTTCTAGAGAGCAACAGGTGTGTGAAAATATGTTTTTCGTGCCATGCAGAAGGAAAGCCCTGAGAATTCTATGCCAGCACAGAAGACACAAGATAGTGGACACTTTCTGTTGAGATACAACAGTACTCTTCAAATATTATATTAAAATATTTAGAAATGAACTTGGCTCACCAAATATGGGATCACTGCTCTGACTTGTGGATAATTATTTTAAATGGGCATACAATACTAGTGGATAATATTCATTTTCAGGGCTTGGCCACAGGTTGCAGATCACAAGTACATGCATTATTGCAATAATATGGATTCTATAGTGGTTTCCTAAAACATGTAATGAGGGTAAAATGAATCAGAAAGAATGAAAGAAGCTGGAATAATTCAACAAAGTTTATGTATGGATGCAGGTCACTTTCACAGAATAGACTATAAGAGAAAGCAGGGTAAGTATATTAATTCACGCCACTTTCTGCCTGGAATAAAATCCACTGCAAAAGATAACCTTGGATCCCTAAAGCCTTTGAGTCATTCTTATTATCTGAATTTCAACCATTTTTCTGTAGCAGCAAAAATAATGAGGATTAACAGAGACCATATCCTGGTCCATTTGGAAAAGCTACAGATTTGAAACATTACTTGCAATGATTTATTTTTCTGAAAAGTAAAACAACGCTGGGTCTTCAATAACCATTTGAAAATAGGATAGGTCTCTATAAATTTTCATCACGCCCTTTAGAAACATAAATATATGTACACACAAACACATTTTTATATATGCATAGGCACAGTTTACTTGTGACTTGACAGAAACAAAAATCTGGAATACTTATAAAACAATTGCATAGGTATTTTTGCTACAGCAGGAATAGTTGCAAAATATTTATTGTATTTTTCTTCCACATAGTGAACAGTTACTTAAGGAGTTAATTGGAACTTGCATCAACATATGGTGGCCTAAAAGAAACACAATTTTTCTCTATGAAATCTTTTGGGTCCACATGACTACCAAGTCACAAGTATAAAACCATGCATAAAACAAACAGGTCTTGGGAATGCCTCCATTCTGGTCAAGGATATAAGGGCTAAATTCATGTACTTTAAAGATGATTGAGAAACCTACTGGAAGCATGATCAACCCAAGGCCGCCACCACTGCTTTTTTTTGCCCTTGGTCTTTTCTTTGTCTGCTTCTCCTAAAATGAAATATGTCCAAACATTAATTTTACAAAGTGAGAAACATATTATGTCTTATATTTTTTCCCCATTTTTTGCAATCTGTGCAAGAGACAAAACACAAAAAGCATTTGCTTACTATTATTATAACTACTCTATTCGTAGAACCTGGCTACTTCTGACATAGAGACAAAATAGAATTTGACTTCAAATTTCCCTATATTTAAGGAATTGTTAAAAATGCTTGTTATTTATTATAAATTAAAACTAAGTTGCAGCAAATTAAAGTTCATTATATAAAACCTAAAACAAACAACTAAAATCCAAAGTATTTATCTGAATTCATAAAATACATTTCTTGACTCAATTTTTGCTTCAAATGAAAAATCTGGTAAGATAAAAATGTCTTTGCTATTCTGAAATTGTTTAGGTATTGTATAGAAAACCAGTTCAAGTTCCAATGTGAACTGTGCTCTAAATACCAACTCTTAAAAGGCCTGAAAGCTTGGTATATTCTACAATTTTACATTATACTTTAGCATTCCAATCCCAACCCCTGCTCTTCAGAGAAAAGTACATGTTTTTATAGATAATCAAATGTTATTTTTCAACAGCAGTGAAAAGGAAGGGCAAGAGAGGGATAACATAGGAAGAGGGTAGGATTTATTCCCAAGTAAATATATGCAGAGGAGCAGATTGTGAAGCCCATCCAACAAATGTCCGGATGAGGCACTGTACTTTTCTATATATATTCATGTTAATAATACTAAGGTCCAAACAATAAATACCAACATCGGATATAGTGAAGGAATAGTACCATCATCATCATCTTCTTCTTCAGCAACCTTTTGAATTTCTTGCTCATCCGAGGCTTCTTGACTCATACTCAGCACCCTTTCTTTACCCTTTTTATACTTCTGTTGTCTGGCTTTGATATGATCCATCCTGTCAAAAAAGAGTTTGCACCCTCAGAATTAAATCATAATCTACGTGGACCCAAAGAGGACAAGGATTTTAAAATATTATATGATATTCTTAATATATTATCAAATGACATTACTCATTATATTTATGCTCATATTACAATAAACATTAGCAAAGAAAGAAATTACACAATGTTGTACGCAACTTTGGATGGGAATGCCTGATTTTTCTGAATTATAAATTTCAGAAGAACTGTAATATCTCCACTTGTGTTTCCCCATCATCTTTTTTTTGGGGGGGGGGGAGTGTCAACAGACCTCAGGACTCATAGGTATGTGAGATGATATAAACTTACATTCAGGACTGTACATTGTCTTCTAAAGTATGACTCTAAGATACAGATGTTTCAGCTGGGCTATTATGTACAGTATATAGCATTATAATCACCACTATGTTTCCTTACCTGTTTTGGGGGTTCATATCTTACTTGACTTTCACTTATTTTGTTAATAGCTATATCTTAGATCGGGGTGTCAAACTAGTGGCCCACGGGCCGGATGCATCATGTGCAGGCCATGCCCACCGTAGCTCCATGAAAAAACATAATGAAACATCACATGATGGCAACATGACACGGGGAGTTTGACACCCGTGTCTTAGATGGATGGGTAGATAGAACTATAATGATCATGAGATGTTCTCAAAATTCCAAATGGGCTCACTGCCTTCTGTAGCGACATCAATAAAGTAATGGCTAAGTACTTTTTCTCTGATTAATGTTGTAGTGTTATATGCCAACCTCCAAAAAGGAATTTTTAAGAGGAAAAAAAAAGCATACTGTTTCTTCAGTTGATCCATTGATTTTTTCTCGTCCTCAAGTCTTGCTTTTACAGCTTTCACAATTGTGGCCTGGAAGAGTTCAGCACCTCTGAAAAATAAATACATATACACTAGATAAAAACAATGCAACACAAACAGATAGGATAACAGTCACACTTGTAGTTTTGTCACCAAGATGGAAACTGAAGGTGAAATTGATTTAACAGATTTTCTGAAACAATGAGAATAATGAAAACATTCTGAAATATATTTCATAAGGTTGACTTTCCTAATCAATATACGAATTTTCATTTCTGTGATAAGAGCTTTCCTTGATTAATATATTTCATTTCACTTTTATAGTTTACAAAATATTTAATTAAAACATATGTATGCATGTATCTATACATTTATTAAAATACAATGCTTCACTTTATATAGATAAAAGATAGAATTCTTTTTTGGCCAAGTGTGGTTGGACACACAAGGAATTTGTCTTTGGTGCATATGCTCTCAGTGTACATAAAAAGAAAAGATACATTTGTCAAGAATCATAAGGTACAACACTTAATGATAGTCATAGGGTACAAATAAGCAATCAAATCATACCAGGAGACAATCAATATAAATTGTAAGGATACAAGCAATAAAGTTACAGTCATACAGTCATAAGTGGGAGGAGATGGGTGATAGGAACGATGAGAAGATTAATAATGTAAGTAATAATAATGCAGACTTAGTAAATAGTTTGACAGTGTTGAGAGAATTATTTGTTTAGCAGAGTGATGGTGTTTACCTGGATGCCAGAATCTGTGAAGCTTTAATATCAGCAACCACATGAAGGTAGTAGTAACTCATGAAAACTCTTCTTTGGAGCAATAGAAAAGCAAAGCAAATGCTATCCCAGATTATTCCTGCCTCTCCACTTGGCAATTTACACTCTGGATCATCCAAAGCTGACAAGAACAAGCATTAAGGACAAGCATCAAAATATTGCAAGATTTTTTCTGAGCTGACCAAAGAGAACAAAAATGTTTAGGTACTTTCAATCCATATCTGCAAGATTTAAACATCACAGGTGGGCAAGAGGATAATTATCTATTTGTGACTCTACATATAAGTACATTTCTCCTCTTTATGCTAAACTACTCACTTATATACATGTTCCTCATTCTATATCTATACCAAAGTAACGGCAGTTTTTAAATAAGAAAGACATGAAAAATAAAGCAAACATAATTTTAAAAAATGTAGAATAGTATTTGCAGTGATTAGGTCCAAAGTCTATATGAATAAGAAAATATAATCTGCAAATAAAAACAAACTGATAAAATTATCAGATGCATCATCTGGTTAGTGTGCTTTGTTTATGCTATTACTTCAAAATAAAATAAAAAAAACCCTCTGCCTGTCTTGGACAAAACATATAAAAATGGTGCTAAATTCTCAGAGAAAAATGTTTTTCCACCAACTATTTATATTCAAATGCAAATTATTCTATACTTCATTATAAAATAACAAAATGATTTTCAATTTCAGAGAGAGAAACAAGTCTGCTTATTGTTTTTTAATGATGGGTATCTGAAAGATTTAATGGAATTTTAAAAAGAATTATGTAAGGAATTTTATAGGTATATACTTACGGATGTCATAACCTTTAACTGTACAAGCCAGACTGAATGCTTGAATCACCCAACAGCTATTGTTGATCAATGACTTGATGTAGCCGCATGCTCCTATCTGAAATAAATAAGATTGATATGACAAAAGAAATTATAATATAAGCCTGTCAACACTACAAGGTATAACTGTTTACACAAAGATCCAAAAAAGAGAAATTGAATCTTTCTTTTCTTTAGTGTTTCTAACTAAACTGTATATGCTCAGTGCAGTGATTTCTTCTATAATATTTAACTAGATAAATAAATAAATATGATAATAAAATAAAAGCTTGTCAATACTACAAGGTATAACTGTTTACACTGAGATAAAAAAGAGAAATTGAATTATTCTTTTCTTCAGTGTTTGTAACTCTTCAATTGAATATGTTCTTTATTCCATAACTTTTAAAATAGTCTTATGCCTCATTGAACCTCTTTCATTGTAATGTCATAAATACAATAAAACAAGAATTGTTTGTAAATAATCCAGTATCAATACTGCAAAATACCCCTTCCTTTTTTTATTCCAATTTGTGACCATATCAGATACAAACAATTTTGCAATGTGTGTATATCACATCCCAGAATAGGAATACATCTTGCTAAGATTAAAATATGTTATATATAACCACAACACTTTGATGTCAAGAGTTTCTAGAAAGTAAGAAAAAGATGAACTAGTGTGGTGGGACTCTGCACTATTAAAAAAATGTAAAATAACAACTATACATTTATTTTCAGAAACATTAAATAATTATTTCAAAAAAGGGAAGATACTTACCGATAATATATTTTTCATTATAATCACAAAGACATTATAAGCAATCAGCCAATCCCAATATCGAAGGATGCTTCTGATTGGCTTCAGTAACAGATCTCCTCCAAAAAGTAGAAAATAAAAACAGGCTACCAAGTAACCCATACAAAATATACTGATCCGAGTGGTTCCCGTTATAAAGATGATAGTAAGAACAAACCAGAAGAGATAACTGAACATAACCACTTTACCCATGTCTAGATAAGATCTGTTACAAAACAAAGTAGGAATGAGAGAGATCAAATTTATGTTCAGGTCATACACATTTTAATGTACAATAGTGATATAAGCATATTTATATAAACATATAATACATAATGATGAAATGATTATGTGTTTACAAGAAAATATTATCCATTATGCAGGAGTTTTTCAAACTCTGTGATGCAGAGAAGTCCTAATATGGTAAATTAATTTATAACACATCCCACCATTATTGATGAATAAAAAAACACGTAATTGTTGAATTGAGGTTATATTTGGCAAGAATACACACACATAACACTGGAATTTATGCATCATGAGGCTTCTCAAATCTTGTGAAACAGCAATTGCTTGCTTTCAGTTTGTTCAGGAAAAAATAAGAAATAAAATCCAGAACGTTTGACAGAATTCTCACTTTCCCTCTGCATGTTTGATGAGGTTTTGTTTTAATTGCAATGTGCAAGTTGCTCACTTTTGAGATGAAAATGACTCAGGGCATTCATACTTCATGCTAAATTAACACATTTAAAATTAATTTATATTTTTATAATTATAGATAATTATTGTAATTATTGTTTTGATAGCATTATTTTCAACTGTTCACTTTTTTATTTGTCTCATTCATAATTTTTTTATGGTAAATTAAAGAGAATTTATCTAAAATTGGTGTGTAAATTGTAGAATTTGTAATAGAGAAATAGAAAGGTTACACTATCTTTTTGAGGTGACCAACGATTTCCTTCCTTCCCTCCCATACAAAAGTGATGATTCTTTGAAAGTATAGAAAGTGAACTTTTTCACTGCTATAAACAGTAACATTTATAGCAATATAATTTATCACCAAACTGATAAATTCAGAGATCTGACTGTTGGAAATTGGGCTCTTGTAATTTCTTTTCATTTGGGACAATCCAGTGTACTTAAGAATATAGCATGTAATCAATGCTACATAAATTTATCATGCAACAAAACTTCCCCTATCTTTCTCTCTGCCAGAAATGTGTTCCTAACTACTATAAACCCTTGGAGTAGATATTGAAGATAAAGAAGAGCCAAAGGGAAAAGGAGAAATTATTCTGTTACAGGCATTTGTTCTACTTGCAGGACAATCAGGAATTATGTAACATCATATAATTCTTTTATGTATCCATTTTAAATATTACATAATTTGTATTGGATTGTCCTGCAATTTTATATATTTTTGTGTCCTAAGTAAAGAATTAAATTATGTCGATAATCTTACCCCATCTTAGAAAATAGCAACATTAAATAACGTGTGAGTGACAACTGCAGTAAAGTTGAAGAAATACAATTCTGAACCTTACCAGTTCAAAGCTCACAAAGAACATCTGATTTCTGTGAAGAAGTAATATAAGCAGATATGTGACCAGATCTTACCGGCAATGAATAAAATCAGGGACAGGGTTGTGTTGACTAAATGAAGCTGCTTCAAGGTTCATACAGATTTCTACATTGTCTCCAGCCATGATACGTACAGCAGCCTTGTTCTCATCTTCAAATGTCTGCCTTTGTAAGGATGCGCATAGTAGCAACATGAAATCATCTAATGGAAGATGTTGAATTGAATATAGATGTGATGGACATCTCACATGTTTTTCATATAAAGAGGAAGACTAAGGGCCCAGTATAACCCTAGTATTAGAATGGAAGTAGAACCAAATTGCTCCTTGTGAACTCTAATCCTAGTCCACAGATTTAACTAGGAACATCCATGTTATGATATACAAAGAGCAAAGAGGTAAATGAGCAGCAATGTTCAGAAAATAATTTTCTCTGGAAGAATGGCTTATTTAAAAATAGATTGCTACTCCTCAGCAGCTTGGCTTCTATAGTTAAGTCCAAGGTTTGAACCAAATTTAGAAGGTTGTAAGGCTACAAAGCAGAAATATTTCCACTCTATGTTTTCCTGGTTCTGATGATCCTTTGCTACCTTATCTTTTGAATTTTGATTATTTATTCAAAACTTTTGGTGTTTTCAATAGTGGACTGTACAGTGACGTGACTGCACTTTTGTCTAGCAATTTACTGTATCATGAAAATTTGCAGGAATATAAACCTTGGACTGTTTGACTACAGGTAGTCTTCAACTTATGACCACATTTGAAACACATTGTTAAGTGAGTTTTGCCCCATTTTACAACCTAATCACAGTTAACTGAATAATTGCAGTTGTTAAGTTAATTACATGGTTGTTAAGTGAACCTGGCTTCCCCATTGACTTTGCTTGTCAGAAGGTCGCAAAAGCTGTTTACAAGACTCCAGGTCCCTGCAACTGTCATAAATATGAATCAGTTGCCAAGCTTCTGAATTTTGATCATGTGACCATAGGGATGCTGCAACAGTATGAAAAATGGTCATAAGTCACTTTTTTAAATACCGTGGTAACTTTGAACGTTCACTAAACAAACTGTTGTAAGTCAAGAACTACCCATACTGCATTAACTCTTTGAGACTGAATTATATTCTGTGATGACTGTTTTTAAAATCTAAAATAGGCATATACAAAATTAATGTTCTTATCTAAAACCTTAAACTAAAATAAGAAGTACAAGAATTGGGCGGCAAAGCAATTTCACACAGAGCCAGATAGCAAAAGGAAAAGCATTAAACTAGAGAGGTCTGCCTAATGCCTTCCAAATTGCTAGGATTACTGCATTACACAATTTTCACTCAATATAACCATTGATAAGAGATGATGACAACTGTACTTGAAAATATCTAGAGGACATCACTTTGCCTATTCCCAGAGGTGGTATTCAGCACGTTCTGACCAGTTCTGGTAGTGGAAATTTTGAGTAATTCAGAGAACCGGCAAATACCACCTCTGACTGGCCCCGCCCCCATCTATTCTCTGCCTCCCAAGTCCCAGCTGATTGGCTGGGTCTTCTTTTGTTGCCCTGCACAGGAAAATGGAGCTGGAAAGCAGGTTAGTGGGGTGGGGAGGGAATAGTATTTTGCAGTATCCTTCCCCTACCACGCCCACCAAGCCATGCCACACCCACAGATTCGGTAGTAAAAAATTTTGAATCCCACCACTGCCTATTCCTGATAAAAAGGATGTGTATTGTTTCCCCAGTCTTAACTTTTAATTCAGGTTCCACATAAGTGTTATTAAACAGCTATAATTATTCTTCTTTATTGCAAAGGTGAGACAGGAAGTACTGCTGTTTTTTTTAAGAGCAGAATTTTTTACTGAAGTTTGGTTTGAAGACTTACCTATATATAGGTAAAGCTGAAAATTACAATCTAGCAATAGCATCTTGATATCTGTTGCATGGCCAGAAATATACTTTACAAACTTATTACAACATCCTGTAGGAATGAAATAAATGGTAAGTTTGTTTAAGGGATGAAAATTACTTACACACAAGGAAGACTGGATTTGGTTTAACAACAAAATCTGGAAAGTATAACCATTTGATGATATTAGAGTTGAAGTTGGCATTTGGATATCTCCATGGGTAATCTGCAATGACAGAGGCAAGAATGCTTACAACAAGCCATTAAGAGTACTTATTTAATTCTCAGCAGGTATTAACAAACAGTAATTATTGAAGTAAAAAATTGAGAGAATTGTTTGAGGGAAAAAAGAATGCTTACCCTTACAAGGTGCAGGTGGGATTCCAATACACATGAAGTACTGGAATGTAATAATGCATGACAGAAAGCAACAGTACTTGGGCCATATTTCTGCAATAGCTTTTCTTCTCCGCCGATACAAAACAGCAATTAAAGCAAAGCCATGGATCATTGCATAGAAATCCATCCGTTGACCAATTACATTTACGGACAACAGGAAACAACTCTGTGATAACAAAGAAAAGGTACAAAATGTATATATTATTTGGAGTAGTCCATGATAAATAGAATATTAGGTTCATCTTTGGAAACTTCATCAGACTGGCCAAGTGTGACTGGACACACAAGGAATTTGTCTTAGTGCATATGCTTTCAGTATACATAAAAGAAAAGATACATTCATCAAGAGTCAAGAATCATAAGGTACAACACTTAATAATAGTCATAGGGTACAATAAGCAATTAAATCATACTAGAAAACAGTCAATAAAAATCATTAGGATACAAGCAACAAAGTTACAGTTATACAGTCATAAGTGGGAGGAGATGGGTGAAAGGAAGGATGGGAGGATTGATAGTAATAGTAATGCAGACTTAGTAAATAGTTTGACAGTGTTGAGGGAATTATTTGTTTAGCAGAGTGATGGCGTTTGGGAAAAAACTATTCTTGTGTCTAGTTGTTCTGGTGTGCAGTGCTCTATAGGGTCGTTTTGGGGGTAGGAGTTGAAAGAGCCCAGGATATGAAAGGTCTGTAAATATTTTCACAGCCCTCTTTTTGGCTCGTGCAGTATACAGGTCCTCAATGGAAGGCAGGTTGGTAGTGACTGTTTTTTCTACAGTCCTAATTACTCTCTGAAATCTGTGTCTGTCTTGTTGGGTTGCAGAACTAAACCAGACAGTAATAGAGGTGTAGTTGACAGACTCAATAATTCCTCTGTAGAACTGTATCAGCACTCCTTGGCAGTTTGAGTTTCTGAGTTGGTGCAGAAAGAACATTTTTGTTGTGCTTTTTTGATGACGTTTTTGATGCTAGGTGTCCATTTTAGGTCTTGAGATATTATAGAACCTAGAAATTTGAAGGTCTGTACTGTTGATACTGTGTTGTCTAGTATTGTAAGAGGTGGTAGCATGGGAGGTTTTCTCCTAAAGTCTACCATTTCTATGGTTTTGAGTGTGTTCAGTTCTAGATTGTTTTGGTCATACCACAAGGCTAGTTGTTCAACCTCCCTTCTGTATGCGGATTCATCGTTATCTCGAATGAGATCAATCACTGTTGTATCATCTGCAAACTTCAGTAGTTTAACAGATGGATCATTTGAGATGCAGTCATTGGTATATAGAGAGAAGTGGAGAGAGCACACAGCCTTGGTGGTGGGCTGTGCTAATTGTACAGGTATCAGATGTGATTCTGCCTAGCTTCACCTGCTGCTTCCTATCTGTTAGGAAGCTTATGATCCACTTACAAGTGTGTTCAGGTAATGCTAGCTGGTTTAGTTTAGTTAGAAGAATGTCTGGAATGATGGCATTGAATGCTGAACTAAAGTCTACAAAGAGGACCCTTGCGTAGGTATTTGGAGATTCAAGGTGTTGGAAGATGTAGTGCAGAGCCATATTAATAGCACCATCTGTCGATCTATTTGCTCAAAGGTTTTCATAACTACAGATGTTAGAGCAACTGGTCTGTAGTCATTCAGTTCCCTGATGGAGGGCTTCTTTGGCACTGGGATGATAGCACAGCATTTGAAGCAAGAAGGAACATAGCACATCTCTAGTGATTTATTGAAGATTCGGATGAAGATAGGGGCCAATTGGTCAGCACAGACTTTTAAGCAAGGATTTATCTTGTCTGGCCCTGGTGCTTTTCCTGGCTTTTGTCTGTGAAATAGATCTTTTTCTGTGATCACCAGAGGTTGTGAACCCAATGGGTTGGAGTCAGTTGTGGGAGATTTGGCTGTTGTTGGTGTGTTTGAGATGTGGTCAGTTGTAGGAGGCTTGGCTGTTGATGGTATGTCTGAAATGGGTGGCTGTAGTTTCCTTTCAAACCTGCAGTAAAACACATTCCGGTCATCTGCTAACTGTTGATTCCCTTCTGCCTGGGAAGGAGGTTTGCTGTAGCCAGTAGTGTTTTTAAGAGTTTTCCATGTTTGCTGGTTCATTTGTTGAGAACTGATTCCTTAACTTTTCAGAGTAGCTTCTTTTTGCTGCTTTGATCTCTCCTGTTAATATGTTTCTGGCCTGATTGTACAGCATTCTGTCACCTTTTCTGTAGGCTTCCTCTTTGGAATACGTAGCTGCTTAAGTTTAGCACTGAACCAAGGTTTATTATTACTATTTGCAGGTTCCTAGTCGGTACACATAGGTCTTCACAAAAGTTGACATGTGATGTTACAGTATCTGTGAGCTCATCTAGGTCTGCAGAGGTATCTTCGAAAACATTCCAATCAGTGCAATCAGGGCAAGCCTGTAGCTTTAGCTTTGCCTCCTTAATTCAAGTCCTCACTGATTTAATTGTTGGTTTTGTGGTTTTAAGTCCTTGTCTGTAGACAGGTACAAGGTGAATCATGCAATGATCAGACACGTGGTAAAGACCTATAAGCATCTTTTAGTGTCAAATATTTGGCAATATCCAGGGGCTGGTTTCAAAAATCCCAGCAACTGGTTCGCTGCCCACTTGCCAGGTGGACATGGCCATGGTGGGCGGGGCCTACAGAAACTTCCTGTTACTGGTTTCTGGTGTGCCTCCAGAGGCCAGGGGAGGCCGTTTTCACCCTCCCAGGGGTCCAGAGGCCTCCCCCGTGCCTCTGGGAGGGCGAAAACGGCCTCCCCAGGCTCTGGAGGCCTTCTGGAAGCCGGAAACAGGACCATTTTGCGACTTCTAGTTTTTCCAGGAAGGCCATTTTTTGCCCTCCCAAGGGTCCAGATGCCTCCCTGGGCCTCTGGGAGGGCGAAAGTGGCCTCCCCTGAGTTCTGGAGGCCCTCTGGAAGCCGGAAACAGGCCCGTTTCCAGATTTCCAGAAAGCCTGTTTTTTCCTTTCCAGAGCCTCCGCGCAGACCCTGGACTTAACCTCCATCAAAAATGGGTCGTGTGGAGACTCCTGGGAGGGGTGGGGCCAGCCGGTCAGTTGAAATACCGGTTTGGCGAACCAGCTTTATCTTTAATATTCGGTTCACCCGAACCAGTCTGAACCGGTAGAATCCCACCCCTGGCAATATCTTGATATATTATAAACATGTTTGCAAAATGAAGATTACATATCCTAAGCCTCTTCCAAGAACCTCAAATATGATTTCCTTTTCTTTTTCTTTTTGTTGCTAACAGTCCTTTATTAAAGACTACACTTCCTGCAATGGTGGAATATTCAAGGGGGGCTAAAACAGCATTTTTGTATCAAATCCACCCACAACAGCTAAGCAGCATCTAGAAGCGTTCTGAGAAAGACCGAGAAGCTGTACAACATCCAAAGAAAAATGATTTTCTATGTTCTCCTTCAGTTATGAAATTCTCTCCCTAGGAAAAACACTAGCATCCACTGAAAAATTTCAAATGGTCTTTCTTTAAGTTGATTGTGGCTGAGAGTATTTTTCATTATACATTTAACCTATTTGGCCAGATTTTTCACTTGGTGACTGAGTTGTCAGTCCCAATTGTGGTCATCAAATAAGAACTATCAGTAATGCTATAACTTAAATTTACCTCCAAACCAAATTTGTAGAAGAAGTAGTTTACAAAATACTTAAGGCAATTAACTATGCCATCATCCAAATGTAATCTGGTAATATCATGAAAAATAGTTTTGGTTTCTGGAGCAGTGAGGTTATTATGACATCGGTAGTATTCTTGGTGTCGGTAAACAGTAACTTCAAAGGCCAGAATTGCCAGCATCAGCAAATTATTCTGTAAGAGAAGGAAACTGTAAATATTTCAGATCCAGGAATAGCCTTGATTCTACTACTTACAGCAAAACTCCTAAATTATTTACACTCACTTAATGTGGATTGTTACATAATAGTTAAACACTTTTCTTACGTTTATATTAATTATAAAGACAATGGGTTTAAAATGTATAAAGCCACTACATCTAGGCCTTTGCTTATTAACATTTATAAAAAAAATTCCAATCTTAGGACTTTTCTACACAAAACTGAAAAGCAGCAACTGAAATTTGTTTTTCGGTGCTACTAGTTGAGCACTGGAGGAACAAAATGCTAATTGATAACACATTTATTCTAAAAATGCCCAATCCCATTTGTGGTTATATACGGGTTATTTTACAGCATATGAATATCTGTAAGATACCCAAAGCCACAAATAGGGGAGTGGATCAGACAGGTAAATCAACTTTGTTCTGATAGGTTATGAGGAAGCAGAAAATAGCCTGTGACGGAAGCTGTGCAGCTCTAAGGGTGACTTAACATTATGCTAAAGTTTACAGAATGAGGTAGTGAGATTTTCATGAAAGAAACCTTGACTGCCCACTCATTTCTAACTCTGGCTTAGTTTTGATACAGAAATAACAAAATATAACAAAGACGTAGAACCAATTTGCAGCTCCTATTTTTTTAAAAACCCTGTAAGAATCTTGCATAATTTATTAGTAATTGGAAAGACACATAAATTATTCACATAAACTAATACTAAAAATTAGTGTATTGCAATTTAAATTAAATTACTGTTTATTAGGTATACTGTTTATTAACAAAAAATGAAATTACGGTTAATTTTAAGTGTATTATTTCTTTAAACAAGCTGTGCAAATGCATTTTAAAAAGCAGTTATTTTTCTATAAGAGTTGAAATTAAGGGATGGGTGGAAATGCTTAAAATAGACAACCACTTTTTCATTTCATGAACCAAAGCTATCAGAGCTGTAATGAACTATACTTCATTATTGTAATTTCCTTTTCCATCCTATACCTTCATAATCTTTGAGGAAAGATTCCAAAGAGACCATCTCTAAGGATTATATAATACTGAGCCAATTCTACTAGAAGACTGCAAGAACTGAAAATGCTGAATAGAGAACAGATTATAATTACCCTCAAGTACACAAGCAATGGATAGGACTTTCTTAATCCAACCCACTCAGTTGGATCAATGGGTTTTTTGTAGAGAAGTGATTCATTCAGGTTTTCCTGATTTTCAGTAGTATTAGGCTAAAATAACAAAACCAACATTAGTTCTGATTTCTTCAGCCAGTATATGTCATAATAAAGCTAACATTGCATCTATAGCTAAATAATTCAATAGTTTCTCATTAACTTTATAAATGTATAAATGCTTTATAAATTCTCTTTCAGGTGCTTTATAAACTCTCTTTCAGATACTTTATAAGCAGCAAAGAATTCCTCCCTATTCTGGTTAAGGCAGATCCAAAAGGAAAAAGAGATCCCTTCCAAGAAAAAAAAAATTGTATCCGCTATTTACTTATTTTAAAAAAAACATAAAGTAACTAACATCTCAACAGGGTTGGAAAAAAGAAAACAAAAGTATGCTACCATAATATTTTCCTGATTTTGGGGAAAACTGCTTGGATAATTTCTGAATCATTTTGTCATCTTTCTAATTCATAAGTCCCTCTAGTTTAAAAAAACATGAATAAAAATGAAATGAAATATACCATTGGACAACTGATAGAAAATGATGCAACGTTAATAGATTCAAGCTGGTACAACATTTTACAGATAATAATCACACAGGTCCAAACTGTGCAGACACCGGATGCCAATGGACGGAACTGAGAATATGGTAAAGCAAAAGCCCAGGCAATTATAAACACATAGTTAATGAGAGAAACCTAGAAGAACAAAACAGAAAAGATTAAATGACAAATTGGAGAATTCTTTACTCTATTATCTCATGTATTTATTTATTACTGAAAAAAATGAAAAACATGGAAAGATTAATTTTCTTGCTTTCATTTGGAATTAAACTCAACCAAATGAAAAAAAGATGCGGGGTGCACTAAAACAGTTCAATGGATGGACAGTTACTAAGCAAAACTTCAATGTGCAACCAAATCTTCAAAATATATAGTACAAATTTTACGATGCATACCTTTTACATTCTATATATTTACAAGGGCTTCTCTAATGGACAAGGGTTATATTTTATACATTTGATAGCCAGGAAGGATTCAAATTTAAAAACAAAATACATAAATTATAATTTTAAAAAGTTCACTTGTTTTCAAATTCAAACTCAAAAGAAATACTATATATTGTTAAACTATGGAAGCCTAACAGAGCTCATTTTCAGTTACATATTTTTCAAGGATATTCTTTTACGCTAGCAGCTTGATAATAGCAGAAAGCTTTAGTCTCAAATGAGTGATCTAAAACCTCAGATACATATGTCCAAGAAGATAAAGCGATTTATATTCTACTGTAATACTGATACTGCAAGAGAAAGTGGACTATCCACTATATACTTGCCTCTTTTACTGTTACCCATATAATATATGATGACACAATTTTGATTATGTGTAGTTCCAAAAGCCACCATACAAAAACTTGAAGCTTATGAAAGCATTCCAGAAACTTCAAGAAAAGTACAGTTAGACGGTCAATTACCAAATGCCATTTGTTCTTTAAATCTAAAAGACAAATAAGATGCAGTGAAACACTTTTCCACTGCTGTGAAAAAACAGCTACTGTTATTTTCAGCTGGAAATATACTTTTTTATATGTACATATAAAATTTTATACACACATAGACACATTTCTTCTTAAAGTAAAAAAAAGTATTAGATCAACTAAGCTTTTTTATTTTTTAAATTTTATTTTTATGCTTATCCAATTAATAAGACAATCTTTATCTTAAAGTAAAAGTTTAAAAATAAAAAACCCTAAAATACAAGCTAATAAAATAAATCTATCTAATGTCTATGGAGGTTCTCAGTCATTCAGGTCATGATTTTCCCAAAGGTTCTTTTCTAAAAGGCAATTGGACTTTCTTGGTTTTTTTCTTGAAATCACTTTGTTTTTCATCCAAAAAGCGTCTTCAGTTCTAATTGAATGGTGGGGAAAGATTGATTTTATACACTTTGCAGATTGAAAAGATTTATACACTTTGCAGTCATCTAGTTGCTGAAACGTTTTCAAGGATAAAAACAAGAAAGTCTAGTTGCCTTTTGGAAAAGTACCTTTGAGACAAACCTATCTTATAATTTGCATAAGAAATAGAAATTATAAAACAATCTACATTCACTAATGAAAACACTACTATAATATTAACAGTACAAAACATTATTGTAAGGTATCAGAAAACCTTTGCCATAGTGACAAATATTGTTGCATTCTTTGACTAGTAGAAACAAATAAACTTTTTAATTTTTGTTTGTCATATGTGATCATGATACCACTGAAACCAGGCCACTTCTATCATCAAACACATTTATTCCCCACAAAAATGAAGAGCTATTCAATGCAACATTTCTCCCTTTCTTCCTCTCTGTCTTACACACACACACACCAAATAAGCGAACAATTTCTTTAATTTAGTCACTATTAACAATATAATTGTACTATGTTTTATAATTTCTGTAACATTTACCACATTGTTGCACTCCAATATCATACACCCCAATCCAATATGCACTTCATTACCTGTATTAATTCATTACTGAATATAATTTTTACATTTTTATGTGTATATATTATATATATATATATATATATATATATATATATATA